GCAGAGTGGGGTGACTAAAAAGGGTGATGTGGAGAAGGATTCCTTCAGCATCCAAGAGTGCCGGAGAGACCGACTCCTGAACCAGAAAACAGGGCCTGCAGGGAGCTCCACTCAGGCTGAAAGTGGCTGCCGAGACCCAGGCACCGGTCGGCCACGCTGCAGGCAGCCGAGGTCGGGGGGAGGGGCCCTGACAGCGTGTGTGCCCAGGGGTTCATTAAAGCCAGCTGGAGGAGTTCAGAAGGCGTCCGCTTCAGCCTTGGGTCAGAGGCAGGGGAAAAGCCCTCTTTGAAACTGGGCCGTGCAGGCGGCAGGGTGAGCAGAGGCCTGGCTGACGTGAGGGGGCGGGTGGGCAGTCAGAGCTGCTGAGGGCGAAGAGGAGGGTGAGGGCGCAGGAAATGGCGCCACGGAGAGTGGGCCAGCGCCTGCGGACAACAGAGCAGGTGCTGGAGAGCAGTGAAGACCAAGCCGGGCTCCTCGGGAATGGGTCCACACAGCAGCCCAAGAGACCAGAGGGTCAGAGGGCCCGCGGGGCAGCGGGCGAGGCCACCGGGGACCCTTCCCAACCCGGAAGTTAAAGAACCCACAGAACACAGAGGGCGGAACCAGGGGCTCTCGGAGGGAGAGTGTCGGCTGTTCCTCGTTGGACAACACACTGTCAGGGAATCAGGAGGGCATTTCTAGACCATAAGCAGTGGAAATGGGTGACTTTGCATCTTTCAAGAAGGAGAAGGGGGACAAAGAAGCCCAAGCAGATCTGTCACTAGCCAAGGAGGACCTGGGCAGGTCCCTCAGTGGTGGCAATTAGGGGATAGAAAAGGACTGTGGCAGCCAGTGCCTCTAAATAGCAATTGTCCAAGTGAATGTGGAAGTGAAGAGAGTAACAAGGTGACCAGCTGTTTGGGGACAGCTGCAGGGTGAGGGCTCATCTGGCTCCACAGGACTTCCCTCCTGGCCTCGTGATGGTCTCCGCACGCCCCTCCCCGGCCGTGGTCTGCTGTCAGCTCCACATGACCAAGCCGCCTGCAGAGGCCTCTCAGGTGTCGAGGTGCGATGGCCAAACCAGACCTGGTTGTGACGTGAAGCACAAAACCACTGTGGTAAGAAACCTGGGCCTGGGGCGGGGTCAGTCCCCCCAGCCTTTCTCCAGGAAGCCTGAGGGACCACGTCCCCACCTTTGGGGGGTGGATGACTGCCCTGGGCTCTGACGGCGTCCTCTGGACGTGGGCGATGCCTGGGAGCAGAGCGGGTCCTCCCGTCCGTCTCTGTGAGCACCTTCAGGTTAGAGGCCCTGCACGGGCTTCAGCCTCTAGACTAGGAATGTTTTAAAGAGGAGAAAAGCCCAGTGATAGGACAGGCCTAAGACGAGGACCTGTGAGTGTCGTGGAAGGGTTGGCTCTCCTCTGGCCGCCCCTCACAGCAGAGTTCCCAGCTCTCCTCTCTGAGGGTGGCTTGCTGCTTCCCAACCGGCCTGCTTCCTGCAACAAAGGGAAGCTGAGATCCTGTTTCCCGGAACCAACACCCCTGCGCATGCCAGGCATGGATCTATGGACAAGAGGTCCCTGTGTGGACTCTGACCACCAACTGGAGGAAGAGGCCTTCATTCCAGGCCGTGGACACCAGGGACATGGGCAGGGTAGGGCAGAGCCACTGTAGCCCCTGGGCATGGCTACTGTGCCTCAGCTGGGCTGAGGCAGGAGGGCCTCCCCGAAGCTGGTCCCTGGCCTCCTGGGGCAGAGTCCCCACGGCAGCTCTTAACCCCAGGCGTGCTTGCCGTGGCAGAGGGAGGCCATCTTAGAGGTGTCACGATGGTCAGCCCCAGAGGCTTTGGGGGGACGACTGATGTGGCGTCCCTAGGACTGAGGCAGATGGACAGTCCGCTAAAGACTGCACTTGTGAAAGTTCAAAGAAAGAAAGAGACATGCTCCAGCTCCAGGGTTTGAGAGCCTGCCCGAGGCACCACGTGGTGGGGATGCTGCCAGCCCCAGCCCTCAGCCAGGGCCCAGGCCTGAGCTCCTGGGGTGCAGGGATGCGGGGTGCCTGGAGGCTGGCTGTGGGCACTCGGGCAAGGCCGACCTCCCCCGATCCTTCCCTGGCTGCTGTGCACTAGGAGGGGGATTCACAGTGTGGGGGAGTCAGTGGGCACTGGCCTAGAGCAAATTCCTCAAGACCAGCAAAGCCCCCAAGGACACCAGTCAGGGCAAGGGCTAGCAGTGGCCAGTCAATGACGTTTGGGCTGCTCTGCTGTAGTGGGCCTGCTGTGGACACCACCTGGGGTCACCCCTCCACGCCCAAATGCACAGGTGGGACACAGAGCAGCTGGAAGGATCCCCACATGGACCTCCAGACCCAGGGCCATCTTGTCAGGAAGGGCCAACTGGAAGCCCCTAGCAAAGACCTCTTCCTGCTAACACGGCCACTCAGCCACAGTGGATTTTAGAAGACTCGCCAGGCTGGTGCCTGTCCTTGCCTGTTGCCAGAAGGTGCTGGGGAGACTCCCGTCGCCTCTCTGCCACCCACTCCTTCCCTCACGGAAGCACTGTGCGTGTGACCTTAGGGCGGGATCACGGTAGGTCTTACTGGGACCCATGGTCCTAGTGCCAGGCAAGCAGGGGACTAGTGCAGCCTTCCTTGCTGCTCCTGCTGGTGAGAATGCCATCATCAAGGGGCTCCCGCCTGGCAGGGGTAGCCGCGGGTTACGGTCACAGCTCCTCCTAGGTCCAGGCCACTGCCCAGCCCTCAGTGGCTCTGGGACCTGATGCTCAGCACATCTGTGCTGACATGCCGGCTGGGTCTGGCAGGGGCAGGGGCAGGCGCTAGAAGCTTGGTGAGACACACATACGCCCAATCCCAACAATGTCAGGAAAGCAGAAGTCACTGTAGCTATTCTGAGCATGAGAGACGTAAGAAAGGAATTGGAGGCCACGTCCCCGCAGAAGGGCTGGTGGAGACCCTCCAGGAAAACCTTGGCACTCAGGCTGGCCAGCCACAGCGTGGCGAGAAGCCACTGTGACTCACAGGCACGTCTTGGAAATTCCCAGGACTGAGGGCTGCGGCTGGCAGCGTCCCCACCACGTGGTGCCTCGGGCAGGCTCTCAAACCCTGGAGCTGGAGCATGTCTCTTTCTTTCTTTGAACTTTCACAAGTGCAGTCTTTAGCGGACTGTCCATCTGCCTCAGTCCTAGGGACACCACATCAGTCGTCCCCCCAAAGCCTCTGGGGCTGACCATCGTGACACCTCTAAGATGGCCTCCCTCTGCCACGGCAAGCACGCCTGGGGTTAAGAGCTGCCGTGGGGACTCTGCCCCAGGAGGCCAGGGACCAGCTTCGGGGAGGCCCTCCTGCCTCAGCCCTGACCAGCCCAAAGCAGCCACAGAGGGCTCCTCCAGAACACCCCTGCCCAACACAGCCACTCCAGGACCCCCGGGGGCGGGGGGCGGAATGGGAGGCCATGGGCACCTGGGAGCAAAGGCGAGACCATGGCCACAGCTGGCCACGGCAGCCCTCTTCCTCCCCAGCCTGCCGGCTTCCTGTGTGTCCCCTTCCATAACCTCAGTTGCCCCCACCAGGGCCTGGCATGCTCTTCACAGCTCAGACCCACCACTGAGGTCCCTCCTTCTGTCTGCAGCGTTCCGGTGCCCAGGGAGGCAGGCGCTTGGCCTTCCTGCTGCCCCCTCCTGCCCAACACACAGTAGGTGCTCTGTGAGTGTCCCCCGGGCTGTGGTGCTGGGAAGGCAGCCTCAAGGAGGAACCCAGGGTGCGTCCAGCCTGTTCTCGGATGTGCGTGCCGCCCTCTTGGCTCCAGTGCCGAGCCACACGAGGTGCCTGGACGTGGAAGCTTCTCTGGCCAGAAGCTACTTCCTGAGGCCGCGAGCTCCCACCTGGCAGGCGTGGGGCTGGGCTCAACCACTGCAGAGGGTGGATGCTGTGGCCAAAGGGTCCTCCCATGGCTCCTCCAGGTGGGGAAGCGGGGAGCCCTGAGTGGTGGGCTGGAAGAGGGCCGGGGCCAGAGGCCGGCAGGGAGCAGGAGTGGCCTCAGGGAAGGGGCCAGGGCGGCTCGCTCCAGGCTTCCCGGGGGATGAGTGGGGTGGCAGGGAGGCTGGCTGGCCAGCAGCTGGGGACCTGGGAGGTGCCAGTGGGACAACCTGATGAGACCTGCAGGTGAACCCTGGAGGTCGAGGACGACCAGGTGGAGGGCAGTGCAGGAAGCCTGCCTCGCTGACCTCCAGACCCAGCAACAGTGCCCGCCTCAGCTGCGACTCCCGCTGGGACACACAGCCAAGTCCATGGAGCTGGGAACCAAGCCACGCAGCCCAGGCTGCCAGGCTTCCTGCCCCTGGCTGGGGCTCCAGGGAGCGACCTGGTCCAGGACGGCTCCAGCCCACCCAGCTCGGGGGGTCTGCTCACTCCACCAAGCCTCTCTGCCAGGTGTGCTCCTGTCTTGTGTTTTTGTCTCTGGGAAGATGGCCGCGGTTAACAGCACTGTAAACAGACCCTTCCCCCAGCGTCCTCCACGGGGTCGGCTCCCACCTGCTCTTTGGTGTCTTCTCCCAGCTAACGCGGCTGCCCTCCTTGGCCAGGCTGCTCCGTCTCCACTCTCCACTCCTCTGCTCCCGTGGCCGTCTCGGACTGGAACGTCTTTCCCAAACTCTCACCTCATTGAGCTCCTACTTAAACCCCAAGCCTAGTTCAAATGACCCTACCTAAAAACTTTATCAAATGGCCTCAAAGTGAGCTGCTCCTTCTATCATTCCAGAAACCTCCACTCGGTCTTCCACTCAAAAACCAAACCCACTTTCTGTTTCCGTCTGTTTTGACCCATTGGTACCCGAGAGCAGGGCCCTCCCTGTCTGATCCCCTTTTAGCCCTGGCATGGGCTTGGCATCTGGACGGTCAGTCTGCAGACTAAAACGGTGGTTCCTTCGTGGAAGGGTTTATGCTCACCCTGCCCTGTGCCTCCCGACCCCAACCTGCGCCATGCCCCATGCTCAGCAACACACAGGCCTGGTCCTCAGAGCAGTTTATTAGTGACACACAGTGGTCGCGCCGAGGGGCACCAGTCAGTGGCTACACCACGTAAACAGTAGAAAGTCGATTAGTAGAGCAGAAAATTCAAGTGAGGTGGCTACAAATGGGGCAAATGGGCTGAAAACTAGTATTTTCATTGCAAGTTTCTTTTTATAAAATTTTTTACTTTATGAATTAAATACACTGAGAAACAGTGAAAATATATTTACAGTCATCTCAAATGGGCACTACCAACGTATTTAATTTAAAAAAAAGTTTCTTTCAAAGAGAAATTTAAATATGACTTTAGTTTTAAAAAATACAATAAGGAAATAATTACATTCTTAATATGAAAACATCTTACAACTTACAGCCATGGTCAATTAAATCTGAATACCTATGGTGTAAAAGTTGATGCTAAAATGTCTGGTGAATATTTCCTTTCTCATTAGAAAATCAATTGGAAAGATGGCCTTGGCCAAAAACCTTTGGTCCCTAGGAAGGAAGGTCTGCAGAAGCTGCTGCAAACTTCTCCCAGGGCGCCAACGCCTGGCGTTCTTGTGTGCCAGGCAGCCAGCACCCGAGGCAATGACCGCGGTACCCACAGGGTGTCAGGTCCCGGCCACACCCACGTGTCTAAGGCGACAAGCCCTGGCTGGGCAGGGCACAGCGGTCCTGGGGCCCTCCAGGGGCTGGGCCTGAGCACACACAGCGGCTTCACTTTTTTGATTTTCAGTTTCACAGTATGAACCCAGCTCTCCATGGGTTGTAAGAGGACAGTAGAACAGGACCAAAATATTTAGTTGCCTCTTTAAAACCATGCCCTGGTTTAAAACTGTTCCCATAGAAATGGTTTTAGGAAGCAGGAGGACGAGATGAGGAAGGCAGTGGCTCCCCTCCCTGCTGCATGGCCCTGCAGACCTCGGGGTGTCCTGCTTGCACTGCGGTGGCAGCCCGACCTCTGTGTGACCAGAGGGGGCCTTGCGGCATGCACACGGCAGATGCTGGTGGCAAAGGAGGTTGCCTTCCCTCTGGTGGGAGGCCGCTGGCCCCTTGCTGCTGCCCACCCTCAGCAGGAGCCATGGGACCTACTATCCCCTGCAAGGGCTCTAAAGGACTATGCTGGCGGGGCTCTCCATGGCCTGGGAAGCCGCCCTTGGAATCTGGCAGAAGGCGAGGAGGCACCAGGCAGCACCTCTGAAGCTGTCTGGTGTCCTGTGGCCGCACATGTGCTCTCGGTGCACAGATCTGGTTATTTAGGAAAAGCCAAAACAACCTGGGTCAAGCAAGACAAAACGGACAATACCGAGGTACACACAGGGAAGGAATGGGATGGAGGCGCATGCGTGGTGGCCAGTGCCACTCCAAGTGCAAAGAGAAGGGTTCCAGAAAGTTCTGTGTGTGCAGACCCACACTCATCTGGACAGACTCTGGCATCTGGGCTGGCCTGGCCAACTCCAGCCTCTGGCTAACATGCTGCTCCTATGTGAATGGTCAGTCAGTGAACAAAACGTTATGAAAACCTAACAGTGGGGTGAAGGATGGTGACATCATGCCAAATTATGGCCCAGAGAGAACCCCAAGGAATGACACTGTGGCCTCAGAATAAGAGGGCCTGAGCCCACAGAGGGGCTGCCGCTGACCTGTCCTGGCAGCTCCTCTGTGCTGGCCGGCCTCCTGCAGCCCTGCTGTGATCATGACCGCCTGCTGAAGTGACAGCTGACCATCGGAAGAGCTTCACTTCCCCAGGGGCTGCCCCACCTCCGCCCACTGGGCCTGAGGACAGAATCTGTCAGCGAGCTCAGCTGTCCCAGAGTCGGCACGGAGGACGTCTGGGAGGACAAGGTGCCATGACCTGTCACCTCTGGCAGGCGCCTCCGGTCGCCCAATATGTACAGACATAAATTACAACTCTATTTACTGAAAATATACAAATAAATAACTTATTTTGAAGCAAATACTTTAAACTAACTTTCTGGTCACCTAGAAACGTCGAGGGGCGCGAGGGACGCTGTGGAGTCGCAGGCGGAGCGCCACCTCCTCAGGAGCAATGGAAGGGCTCTGTGGGACATGGGAAGTGCGTTTCAGTGTGTGCCCTCCCCAGGAGACCACGGCTGTGATGGGGGCTACAAACTTGGGGCTGCAGACACAACCCTGTCTTCTGGAGCGGAGACCTGGCTCCAGACCCTGGCTCTGGCACCAAGAGCTGAGTCCTCAGAGGAGATTCTGAGGCCATGGGTCTCTGCCTGTACCACAAAGCTGGTCCTGGTAGTGCCCAAGGCCACCTCCCATGCACAAGACACTCTGCTGACATCCCCCTGCCTTGGCCCAGGCCAAGACCTTAGGTTGGCCACCATCAAAACCTGGCATGGTGCTTGGCAAGGGTGGCCCTGGTCAGAAGAGCCAGAGCTGAGAAAGCTCATTTGACCTGAAGGCAGTGGGAATCTATGGCAGGACTGATTTTCTTCCCTTTATGGAAATCAGTGTCACAGGAGACGGAGAGGTCACAGCTTCCTGTGATGATGGGGAAACCCTCCCAAGAGAGAAGGGGTTCCCCAGTGACAGCCAGCCACTGGCTCTGGCGGAGGCTGCCCCTCCAGGCCTCCCTGTGAGGGCTCCAGCAGGAGGCCCCTGTGGTCAGTGCTGGCACATGCTGTGGGGTGGGAACCAAAGACACTCCTGGCAGATGGCTTCACAATAAATTCAAGTTTCAGGGGGCCTCAGCCAAGCAGCCTCCCCGTCCTGCTACGACACTTCCTTCCTCACTGGAGATGGCTTTTCTGCTCACAGAAAGCCAACTCCAGCCCTGCAGGGCCAAGGTTGTGGCAGCAGAACTGGTCCTCCCCAGGAAGGCCTGAGGATGATGAGGGCACTGTGGCTGGCCCAGGGCCTGGGAGAGTGTGGGGACACTGCTTCCAGCCCTCTTTTCCTATGGTTGATGAGAGTCCCTGGCTGTGGGTGTGGAGCCTGTGCTCTGGGGGTCCATCACCAGTGTGGGCCTTCTGGGGGGACCACGCAGGCAGGCCGGCCTCAGAACGGGGCCAGAGTGGGTGGCTGACCAGCTCCACTTTGTCCTTGAGCACAAGCGCCCTCCAGGAGACACTGGGAAGGAGGCAGGCAGGATCCCACAGGACCCGAGAGAGGCGGCGAGCTCAGGAGTCACAGCTCAGCCTCGTGTGCTGACGTACTCCCGGCTCAGCTTGACCCCTCGAGCTGGGGGCAGACGAGGGGCTCTGAAAGGTCACCGCTGGGCCCAAGGGGCTCTAGGTCTATGACTTGCTTCCTTTCCAAAGGGCGGCTCCCGCCCCAGGCAGTGGACGCCTGCACAAAAATGGTGCATCCCCCCACTACATGGCCACGGGCTCCGAACCTCAGGCCCAGGGGGAGCCTAACCAAATACTAGGGGCACTCTGCTGCCCCCCAGAGCAGAACAATGACTGACAAAACTGGACATGGAACCTCTGGAAACTCCTCAGGTCCAACTAGGTGGGACACAGAAAAAGACATTTTTAAAGCAGGTTACAGCAAGTGGCAGCTTTCCTGTCCCAGGGACAAAGCATCTGCCCACCAGGAAGAGCAAGGGCCAACTGGCTTCCCGCACACGCTCCCCACGCCTTGGCCTCCAGCAACCAGGGCACGCAGGTGCGGGGTCCTGAGACAGGCCACACATCCACGCCACAGCCACGAGAGCCAAGACCTGCAGCCACCCCAGAGCAGGCCGCGCAGTGCAGGCCGCAGGCTGCTTGATGTCTGCAGGTTCGGCAGGGCTGGGGCTGAGCGTGCAGTCTGGCTGGATAGGTGACCTTCCGCCCTCTACAGGGTCTTTAAACAGCTTGTCATCCCTCTTTGTTTCTGTTTTTATCAAATATAGTTCAAAATCAAAGCCTCATAGTAGCTGTTCTAAAGGGCACCATGGTACAGTAGAAAGAACACGCGTGAGCCACGGCGGCTTGCTCGCAGGCCCTCAGGAGTCATGCTTGGCCACACTGGGGAGTGCGTCCACAGTCGCTGTGAGGAGGCCAGGGGACATGTGCGGCCCCCATCTGAGGCTGGGTGGCCTGGCTTTCCTTTATGTGCCATTCTTCAACTCCCACTCCTGCAGAAAAGGAGACAGCGTAAATCCAAGTGGCCAGACACTGGGCAGGGCTCATGCCCCCTGGAGACCTCAAAACTGGGTGCTCAGCCACCATGGGAAGCACCATGAGGTTCCTCAAAAACCTGAGCCTGGAACTCCCATGACAAATTCCCCCAGGCTTCACCGCCAGCCCTCAGGCAGGAGGAGCCTGAGGCCAGAGGGGGAGCAGGCAAACAGACGGTGCAAGTCCAGGCGGGGGCGCAGGGCAGCCTGGAACAGAGGGCCATGGCAAGGCGTACTCCTGCTGGCCAGAGCCTCAGAGACGCCCTGTGGACAGAGCCATCACTCACTAGAGGCCGCACAGGGCCTGGTTCCAGAGCAGTGGAGCCCAGAGATGGGAGAGGGGCAGCCGGGTCAGGGAGGGGAGGGGGCCAGCATTCCCCAGGGATGAGGACAGGGTGCAGTTGGAAGGTGCTGAAGTCCTGGAGGTGGGGGTGATGGGAACGTGCAGAGAGTCGCTCACCTTTGCACAGGAGAGTGGCAACGCCTGTTGTGCTCACTTTACCACAAGGCATGGGGGGGGGTCACGGGAACAGTCCTGCATGGGCCCCTTCTTCCACAAGCCCCGCCCACTTCTGGGACACTAAGGAGCCAGAGACTCCCTCCTGATTTTGAATCCCAGTTTCTGAAGGAGGGTATGCGGGGGGAGCTTGGTGACGTTCAGCACGTTCTGGCAGGAGGCTGAGCAGAGCAGGATAGCCCAGCCTGCTCTTCACCCTGCCCGGGGCTCAGGGCGCCATGTGCCTGCCCGGGGACTGGGGCTCACCTTGGCCTTCCGCAGCACATGCCCCCGGCAGGGGGAGTTGCTCGCGGCTGGCTGGGTCTTCCTCAGGACAGCAGCGCTGTTCACAGGCAGAGGCCCTTCTGCATCACTGGTGTCACAACTGGAGATGGGCGAGTTTTCCAGAGTGCGATGCCTCAACCCAGGAGACTGTCACAAAGGGGAAGTGTGGTGTGAGAAGTGGGCTCTGGCTCCCAGGTATTCTCCAGTATTTGAAAATGACCAAAACTAGACACAAGGACAGTAAGAGCCAGGGCCTAATCCTCAGCACCCTTTAGCCATCCGGCCACTGACAACAGAGCTGAGGCCGGGAGGCTCCACTTGGTGTTAGTGGCCAGGACACGTGAGTGGCATCCAGAGCCAGCCCTGCCGCTCACACGGTGCTGCCTCTGGCTCCTGCATCTGAACAGTTCTCGCTTACTCCAGGGAATCCCCAGAGACTGGCTGCCAGAGAGGCTCAGGTGGCAGCGGAGGTGTCTGGACTGGCATCAAGTTGGAAATGCAGTCACAGCGAGCCACAGGCCACTGATATTCAGGGGTCACGAACATTCAGACACCCTGCCGTGTCGGAGAGGTTTCCGGGAGACTTGAGATAGAACAACACGCACCCTCAGTTGCCCCGGCGCCATATTTGCCCTCCCATATAGAAGTCAAACTGCTCTTTGGGAAAACCTGCTGGCAGTCTGCTGCACCCCAGTCACAGTCTCCAAGGACTAACCCTGCTGTCATCACTGCCATTGGACGCTGCTCAGGGGCACAGGGTACTGTTTGGGGAGGGCAGTGTCTCCTGTAGCATCTGACAGCTTAGTCCCCTGTGGGCTCCATGACTGTACGTTCCTACTACACTGTGGGGCTGTGAGCAAGCTCTCCCTGGCAAAGCTTCTCGGGCTGCAGGTGGAGTGGTTGGAAAAAGGACAGAAAAAAGACATCTGTGGGAGAGGCTAGGCGGGCAACCTGCACCTGCTTCTGGAAAGCCTCCCTCTGATGAGCTACTCTCATGCACACGGGGCCAGGAGGCAATTAGGCAGAATGCTGCCACACCAATGCCAGGCAGGTGATGGCAACCATGGTCCTCGGAGAGGCCCTCAGAGGGCGGAGGCAGCAGCTAGCACAGCGGGCAGAGGGGCGGGCATGCACACTGCCCAGCCCTGAGCCTCTGAGAGCTGAGCTGGCTCCTGAGGCCAGAGGGGCATGTGTGAGCAGGAAGGGCTGATGAAGGGGCCAGAGAGGGGCTCTAGAGGGACAGGGATCCAGGAGTGTGAGGTTGCTGCAGGTGGAGGAAGCAGGGGACATTCCAAAGGCCTCTGGAGCTGGAGAGAGGCGAGCACTCAAGCGCCTGTGGGATCTAGAGTTCCAGAGGTCACCTGTGCAGGGCAGGCTCAGAGAGGAGCCACGCTGCAGCTGGGTTTCCAGATTTCATCTGGAAAAACAGGTGAAGCAGGCAGGGCCAGAGGGCGGCAGCCTGCGGGGAGTAGGGGAACGGGAATGAGGCAGCACCCTTCGTGTTTCATGTGTCACAAAAGGAGAAGGAAGCTACCAGAGGAAGGCTGGAGGTGCAGGATTCTCATAGGTGTCTGAAGTCTAGAGAGGTGGGACCCAGGGCCCAGCTAGAGGCTCCAGTTGCTACAGGGAAGCTCGGTACCCGCTGGCTGGCAATGGAGCAGTCCCCCAGCCACCCGGCCCACCATTACCCTCCAGCAGGATGGTAGCCCAGGGGTGCATGCTCTCCTGCCTCCAATCACAGACATGAGTCCCTCTGAGGCCCAGAACTCTGCAGCCCAGGGAAGACCCCTCCTGGCCCTCCCCACTCTCTCTGCTGCATCTGGCTTCACAGGCCCTTGGTCCTAGGTCGAGTCAGACACAGAGACTCAATACTCCAAGCCACCCAGCCCTCAGAGCCTGGGTCCCACGGCACCCGGCCTCTCCATGCTGAGCAGTGCTGTGGTGGGCTTCCCCTCTCGTGAGGACACAAGGGCCCCGGGACAGGGACGTTTATCTAGTATATTCAATGGTCGGAAGAGAATGGTTTGTGACTCACTGAGGGAATAAGGTATAACTTCATATATATAGTAGCACATAACGATACACCACGTTACATATAAATTACATACAATACTACTGATATATGACCATATAAATATAATAGTAATATACAATCATACAAGCATATAATTGTTGAATGAATGAGTCAAATAAATATAATCTGCATATAATGTACTAATATGCACCTGTCAGTCTATTTAACTAAGGACAATGAATGGAGTGGGTCAATACATGAGAGCTCACGCATCCGTGCTGGAAGGACACCCTGGTGTCCACACCACTCCCCACAGCAGGCAACATTGTCACCTAGCAGATGAGAACCTGGGCTAGCTGGGCTGGGGGTAGCTCAGTGACAGAGCACCTACCCAGGAGGCATAAGGTCCCAGGACTGATCCTGGGCACCATGCACACAATGGAAGCACAGAGCCCAGGCGAGAGGGGCCAGGTGTGGAAACCCCACCTGCTGCCCCCCAGCATGCAGGGCTGTGGGTCCAGTGATGGAGCAGCTCCCCGCCTGCTGGAATTGGCTCTGCCTAGGGGGCCATCTCTGAGGCGAGGGGTAGCCCTTGTGCTGTGACAGTGGCTGGGCTTGGGGACGAGAGTAAAGTGGCAAAGGTGGTGTGGCAGGTCTGCTGGTGGTGGCTAGGTGGGTGCTGGGTTTTGGTGGTGCCCATAAACCTGGCAAATCCACCAAATGCACATGTGGAGGGCATCAGATCCACTCCGGTTGGCCCTGTGCCAGATGCCTGGAAAGAAGAACCTGCCTTAGGAGCACTGGGGTGCAGGTGGTGGGCTGAGGGTGCACCAGTGTCAGCCACAGTGGGGTCAGCTGCACACTGGACACCTGAGCGGGTGGACTGCGCTTGATGGGCCTCACGCCTTTTTTTGTGAAACAGAAGCAACAACATGGTGGGGCTCACAAGGCCGCTGGGGCTCAGGCATGGAGCTGCCTGTCGAGGGGCTGGTATAGCACCAGCAGTCCAAGGGGAGGACTCACTTGAGAGGAGATTCCATGTCCCATCAGCTCTGAGGGTCCCAGCCCGGAACCCACGCCCCCACCCCTGGGCTCCCGCACCAAATGCGCTATACGGAGTCACCCTTCTCTTAGGGATGGACGTGCAGCAAGGACCTGGTAGAAGTTTCAGTGCAGAGGTAAGAAAGTTCAACGTCAGCAAGCCGAGGACACAGCTGACAAACATGTCCAGTGCCAACATATGACAACGTGTGAGCCCATGTGAGCTTGCACTTCAGGGGACCCAGAGTGAACTGAGACCCACCCCAGAGCACTTCCCCGGGGGGGCTCTGGCCCTTCTGTGGCTTCTGAAGGGAGTTGGCAGGACACTTACCTGTGGACTTGATGTCCCTGACTTTGGCTCAATGGCCAGCCCCAGGGTGACGCCGCCAGCCAGGGCTTTCTTCAGGCTCTCCTTGACCTCAGTCAGCTCCAGTTCCAGGCTGACCCGCTCCGCCTCCCTCTGCTTGCACTCCTCCTCCAGCTTCCTCAGTTTGTCCTCCAGGACCACCTGGGTCTTCCTGCCTGCAAGCCCAGAGTCACGCTATCACTGCCAGGCTCTCAGGAGGGACCTCTGTGCCCACTGGACCTCCACTGGCTCCCAGCACAGCTCCCGCACAGGCCTTGTCCAGCCTGGCTGTGCTCTAGGACAAGTCCCCTGGAACGGCTCCCCCTGCTCCAGGCACCAGCCTCTCTGCTCATGCTGAGGTCTGTCACAGTGACCTGCAGTATGCAGCATCCACACTGGACGGATGAGGAAACTGAGTCTAAGAGGCTGGCAAACGCGCTCAGGCCCGGCCAATGCTGCCTGCACTGGGGACTCTCTTGTTGGAGGCTAAGTTCCAGGGCCTCCCTGCAGCTCACCAGCTGCAGCTCTGCAACGAGGCAGGGAGGGAGCTGCTCCCTCCTGCCAGCTCCACGCTAGGCTCTGGTCCCTACCAGGTAGCCCTGGCTGGACGGTCTCCCTGCCTCCTCCTCCAGGGCCTGCCCTCCACTCTTCCAAAAGCGCCTCCCTCCACAGTGATAACCCAGGCTCCAAGCCAGAGAGGCCGAGCTCTGAGGAGCTGGGTGACTGTGTGAATAAGCCAGTGAGAGCTTCTGTGGCCTCCCGTCCTCTGCACCTGCCCTCCCTCACCTTCTGAGGCTGGCAGAGCTGTCTGAAGAGCCAGCCTTGCCGCTGTGTGGGAACTGGTCTGGCATGGTGGCATGGAGGCAGCCCAAGTCCCATCCCCAGGCAGGCGCTCCTGCCAGCAGGAGAGAACAGGGTGGCCGGGTGCTCTTCTGCCTCCTGGCTCCCCTACTAGACTGCACCCTCTTTGGGCCCTCGGACCTGGCTGTTCCCAACCCCTACCGCCGACACATTCTGCTTGCTCCCCAGCCCCTCCAGGGAAGGGATGGCTGCTCCCTTCGGTGAAGCCTCTGCTGTCCCCTGTGAGTGGGACCTGCCTCAGTGGAGGGTACTCCTGCTGAGAGACCCCCTGGACACCTGTTACCACAGGGCTCCGGCCCTGGGCATAGGGCTCGCCCCTGGACCTCATTGGCACCTGAGGCTGGAATGGAGCTGGAGCTGCACTGGGCAGCCTGGGCTCAGGTCCAGCCTCTGCTGCGGCTGCACCTATAACCACGCAGGGCCCGCCCTGGCTTGCCAGGCACACCCTGCACCCCAGGAGGCGCGACACAGACAGTCCCCATGACAGCCTCCATGGTCCCAGACCTGGCAGGCAGAGCAGAAGGAAGCCCCGACCTCCCCTACCTGCATTCACTGCGATGGCGGCCCTCAGGTCCTTCCTCTCTCTGCGGAGCTGTGCCAGCCGGTCCCGCAGCACCTCCTTCCTCTTTAGCAGCTCCTCTTCTTTGGTCTGCAAACGCCTGGCATCCGCTTCCACCCGGTTCTTGCCATATTTGTACTGGTCAGCATCTGGCAAGCAAAGCAGCAGAGGAGTCAGGCGGCCATGGTCATGCAAAGCAGCAAAGGTTTGAACTAAGGAGAAAAGCGGCCGTTCAAATTCCCCAACACTCTTTGAATGAAATTTTTACAAATGAAATTGAATGTGGAACTGTTTTAATCCTCTTCCCTTTGAGGCACACGACTTGGAAGTCTCGTCAACAAGGCTGGAAGTTAACATTCTGTGATGTGGAAAGACAGCTGCCTATTACTATCAGGAATAATCTCTGGAATCTGTGAAGTTCTCCATATTTTTCAAAACCCTTGCCTGACCCCACCTATTCCTTATGAGTATATTTTACCCTAACCTGATGGTAGCTCGGTCCTCACCCCCAGACCAGGCCCTGGCCGGGGACTAGTCCTGTGGCAGGGCACACAGGTCAACTGCATACTGGACAGCAATGAGCCTGGAGCTGCTTAATCTCTGTGTCTCAGTTTCCTCGTCTGTGAAGCTGGGATAGTAAGAGCAGTGTCACGGGGTTGTCCAGAGGGTTCAGTTGACTGATACTCATAAAGCACTGAGAACACCAAGGCGCGCTCCTCAGAAACATGTGCTAAATGAAGGCGGAAGAAGAAGCTAGCTTTGGGGAAGTCCAGAGGCTTGGCCCACATCACACCACAAGTTCACATGGCATTAAAAGTCCCTACCCAGGGGCTGGGCTTGTGGCTCAGTGGAAGAGCGCTCGCCTAGCACATGCGAGGCCCTGGGTTCATTTCTCAGCACCACATAAAAATGAATAAATAAAGGTATTGTGACCAACTACAACTGAAAAATAAATATTAAAAAAAGTCCCTACCCTGGCTCTCTTCCTCTTGTTACTTGGCCTTTCAACTACAGAAACATAGGAAGAGCCTCTTTGAGAAAGTCCACCCCAGAGGGGAAAGCTCTCGCCAAGGACCTCCAAGCTCAGAGTGGTCATGCAGAGCTGGGGTGTCTGCGCTCCAGCCATGCCCTACCCTTCACACCCACAGGTCTGACTGCTGGAGCCTAGAATCTGCTGCAAAGCCTCAGGGGAGGGGGCATGATGGCAGGAAGCAGAAGAGTAGGCACGCAAGGGCCTCTCCTTACTGTGACTCTGGTGAGCACCTGTCTCCCCACTCAGCTCTTGTCTACAAAGCAGGAGTGAGAAGGACTGCCTGAGTTTCTCAAAATGACCTATGTCCCTACAGTGACTTCTGTCCAAATGACAGGGCTCCTGGTCATTTAGATACTCACAGGCAGACACTCACAGGCAGCTCTCGTCATTCTCTGTGACAACCACTCCCCAGCCCTGTCTGCATGCACCATGGCACCACGACCAGTGCCTACCCTGGGGGCTGGGTCCACCGCAGCAAGGCACGAGGACCCCGGCGGAGCACTGTTCCCTGATACCTGTGTGTCAACACTGCTCCTCATCTAAAGAAATCACAGAATGACTTCAGAAGGGTCACAGCCCGAGGGCAGCTAATCACCAGGGGAGGCCACAGCTAGTCACAGCTGAGGCAGGCAGGCCAAGGGCCACTCTGCTCACTGTGTCAAGCCTGCAGCTCTCCTCTCTGGTCCCCACGCCCTAAACGCCCCCACAACCTAAAGGCAAGAGGCCAAATCCAGCCAAGACAGAATGCTATTATTTTTCTCTTTTGTCAACATTAGATGTGACCAAAGTTAATAAAAATTCCAAAGTTCTCACAAAACCACGGGTGAGCCACACAGGGAACAGAACCCACAGGGAGCATGGAAGTGCTGAGCTCAAGGAGACTGCCCGCCAGGCCCTTCTTGGTGGAGCGTCGCGGTGCCCTCCTTCCCCTGGGGAGCAGCACTGCAGTGGAGTGTGGATGCCGCCCCACACATCAGGGAAAGCAGACTTGTCAGAGGGCAAGGCCCGGTCAGCACATGGGTGGACAGAGCAGGTCCCCAGGAGCAGGATGTGGGTCTGGAGAGAACAGCAGAAGAGCCCCCAGGAAGAGAGCACAGGCTTCCCGCAGCAGGAGCAGTCAGGGGCGAGGCAGGTTCTGCTCTGTGTGGGGCGGAGCCTTGATCTCTGGGGTGACCGCTCCACCAGCTCCACTCACAGCTTCAAAAGCTCAGCTATAAGCCCTAAGCAAGGGTGGCACATGTGACCCTAAGCAAAGGTGTCACAAACCTTTTCTGACAGGCCAGCTGGCTCGGAGCTCCACTTCTCTGCGTCCTCAGCCATAGCTGCAGTACTCAAGGGAATAAATGCTGCCTGGCTGGCCAGCTGGCCCTCAGACGCCCATTCTGAGAAGGGCAAGGGCAAGTGCAAAACAGAGACGGCAATGCCGTCCAGGTTCCTCCATGTGGAGGGAAGAAAACAGGCCTGTCTCAGGCATGCTGCGCCAGCTCCTGCCTCACAGGCCTCTGCCCTGTCTGCTTCCAGATCACCTGCTGTCCCAAAGCCTGGTTCTCACTTGGGCTCCGTCACCCACTGCGAGAGACCCGGAGATTCCTGTGCTGCCCCGAGATTCTTTTCTCATTTGGACAGTGTGGTAGGCGAACAAACCCACCCTGATAACGAGGCTCTGAGAAATCAGCAGGTGACACCAGGAACAGCTTGTCACGGATCAGGACCACTAGAGATGACAGCCTGGGGTCCTTGGGCTGCTCCATTACTCAAGCACGGGCACCAGCTCTGCTCTTTCCCTGCAGCGGCCACAGCTGCCCCTGACTGGGCCTAGCAGAAGGGGCAGGCTGTGTCCAGAGAGCGCACATAACAACCAGCTGCCCATGAGGAAGGGTCTCCAACCAAGGTCTCCTGACCCAAAGTCCAGGGACAAGGCGTTGCACCCACAAGTGTCTGCTGACATGGCAGGCAGCTCTGTGCTCCTCAGGCATGCAAAGGTCCCGGGGCATGGGCAAGAGGTCCTTGCCAGCTCCCACCCAGCAAGGGAAGGACAGGCTGCCCGCTGTCCCCTCTCTCCAACAGACTTCTAAGCTGACACTCTCCATGTGAGCAGCCCAGACACTCTCCACTACCCAAGCTGCAGTCAGAATCCGAAAGCAGAGCATCTGGTGGAAACTCACTTGAAGCCGTCCGTCTCACGCTGGCTGCAGAATCCACTTTTTTCTGCTGACTGCTGGGAGCCTTCCCTTTCCCAGGAACCCCATTAGATGCCACGGGGGGCTTCTTCCCCTTGAGCTGTTGAAATAAACAGAAAATAAAAAACAAAACAAAACAAAGCCCTATTTCTTTCCTACGGAAATTTCTCTGGCTCTCTGACTCTATGGAACCCAGCTCGGTCAGAGAGAAAGGTGGTGAGGAGACCGACTTGGCTTCAGACTCCAGACCATGTGGCTTCCTGGGACGGCTAGGGAGGTCAGAGGGTCCTCCAGGAAGCGGGCGGGAATGCTGGGCAGCTCTGGCCTCACCGGGACCATGCCCACTGCTGAGAAAAGGGCATGGCCTTCAGCTGGGGCCACTGAAGCCTGTTTCCAAAGCGGGTACTTTTCAGGGTGGGAGCATGACTACACTGCTAGGTTTCTGCTTCAAGGACTCTTAACTGAGTGACAGTCTAATAGGACAGTCTAATAGGCCTTCTGAGTCACTAGTGGGGAGGGGGCAGGGATGCAAATGACACATAGTGTAGAAATAGTCTGAGTAACACAGAAAATAAATCTGACCAGCTACAATTTTTTTTTAAAAAACTGAATAGTGCCCCACTTCTTCAACTGCTGCAGGCCAAAGGACTCTGTTTGGCAGAGGTGATGCCACGCCACTGAGGCCTGACTCCTCTGTGACAGTCAGCTGTATGCTGGCCCTTGCTTTCTACTGTGCCACCTCGCCTGCTGCCATGGGCCTGGGTGTGGGGAGGCCCCGTCATTGAAGAGAAGCTGAGCAAGCCACTAAAGCTTTCTGAGCCTCTGTTTGATCACTCAAGAACATAAAAAGGTACGGGCACCTCCCTGCTGGGCTCCCAAAAGTTTGAATGACACAGCATAGCCGCACGGCAGCTCGTGCACGGTCTTGCCAGGGAACAGAAGGCTCCCCCTACCATGGGCAAGTGAGGGAGGGAAATGGGGTACTCTTTTGACTTATAGTGCAAGGCTCACTTGAAACAAGAGCTTGAATAACAACAATGTGAAAGCTCCACGCGCTGACCATGCACCAAATGGTCCCCAACCTGGAGACAGTCCGAGTATGCAGGTGGTATGTTTCGTTGCCTGTTTTTACCTCAGGGAACTCCAATGCCAACACAACGCAGATAAATACACGCATAGGTAAGTTTCACTTAGTAAATGAAACATGTTGACCAGATTTTTGGCACAAGTACTTGTGAAAATACTGGAGGACCATTGTGCTCACACATTGGACGCTCAGACTCCTGGAGTCGGAATCTCCAGGAGGCCATCTGGGCACGTCGTTGGTGGCCAAAAGGTTTCCTTGGGGAGTTTGATGAGCTAGACCCTTGGGAGGTGTCTGTCTGAGCACCACTGTCTGAAATCCTCCGCCCTTACCTGGTCCCATCATTTCTTAAGGTTACCCTCAGGACGGAGGGGATGCATAGCTCGCCCCGAACTTGCTTTACGTGAGCAGAGTTCTCTTAATGGGTGCTCAGGTCTCCAGAGAAAGCAGAGGAGACTTTAGGCTGGGAATGCACACCACGCAGCACCTGCCCTGCAGCACTGCCTTGCCACAGACAGAGTGTGGCGTGGGCAGCGCTCAGCCTCCAGGCTGCTTATCAAGCAGTGGTCCTCGCTGCTGGCTGCAGGAGCAGGCCTCACATTCATGCCAGGACACACACGGCGCTTGAACAGCACCCACCCATGCCAAGGTCAAAAGCCAGAGCGGACCCCTGCTCCTTCATGCCGTGCAGGATACTACTGAAGCTGTGAGTCAAGAATCTGGAAAGCTTGGCTGCCCTGTCCTTCCCCGGACCTTTGTCTTTTGTTGACATGATTCTCAAAATTCCACTGGGGCTTTTCCAAGAGTGGAAAGAGAGCCTCAATGCCCTGAGCACTAACCAGCACTGCTCACTGCTCCTGGGCCGCGCTGCAGACTAGGCTCTAGTGGAGGAAACGCCCACGCTTTGTGCCCTAGGGGCGGGAGCTGGCTGCAGGGCTGGCTGCGGGGTGACCCTGGGGACAGGGGGTGTGGTGCAGTACCTGGGAGTGTAGCCCGAGAGACGCCCTCCCCACAGCAGAGGTGTTAGTGAGAGACGGAGAGCAGGGTGGGCCGCAGGAGGTGGGGGCCTTGCAGAGGTTAGAGGACAGCTTGTCAGCGGGCAGCCTGGAGGCCCTTCTGTCAGCAGGACAGGAGCGAGCAAAGATTTTCGGAGACGGCAGGTTATCGTAGAGGCCCTCGTTATCATAGAGCGCCTCTTCGCCTGGGCCTCTGCTACCGGAGGCGGGGAAGCCGTCGTCCGGGTCCCACTGGAACACACAGCTCTGTCGTTAGTGACCCAGACACAGGAGAGAGAGCAGACTTTAGCACAGCGAGACAGCGCACCCCGAGACACAGGTGTTGCCAATACAGCACCCCCACACATAAGCAGGTGGACACACTCAAAAGAATCCCTTTACTTCTAGGGTTTTAGGGAAGGTTTCTTTCTCCTTAAATCCTTCCCAGCACCATTAGTTTATGACGTTTTGTTTTCTTCTGCAAGGCAGAAAAAAAAACACTGCTTAGAAACTTCCTTCTTTAGAAGACTGGAGTTTGGAAGTCCCCTAATGCAGGACCTGAACGTGGCAAGAAGGGGGGAATGGACACTGCCCCAGGAAGGCGTGAGAGCTGCTCCAGGCTCCTTCCCTACGCACACACACACTGGCTGCCCTGGCCTCCGCCCACCTGAGGAAGTAGGGGAAGCCCAGCCAGAGGCCGGTCACAGCTAGTTGGAGGCAGAGCTGGACTCGGAGCGCTCGTGGCTATATGCCACAGCACTGATGAGCCTTGGGCTCTCCTGGGGGACGAGGGCTGGAACTGAGACCACCAGGCTGCTCCACGCTTGCCCTAACATGCCGAGGTCCTCAGGTCACGGACACTGTCCACAGGCACCATGGTGCCAATGCGGTTACGCCTGAAGAAAGTGCCATAAGCGAAACAGTCCCATAGAAAGGGAGTGGCTGCACAGAAAACAGGTGCTTCAGAACCTGACGAAGACCATGGTGTTCAGCAGACACCTGGAACAAAGGACTCAAACAGGGACAAGCCACCTCATGGGACACACATCTAGAGCACGGACACTGAAATATAAATAAATACCCAAACTCAACCCTGCGAGGCCCTCCCAAGTCCCAACGGTCTGTATAAATTGCCTTGCATTTTTAAAAAGGGAAATAATAATTCACATGTTCTGCTCATTTTACCCTGTTTTTATGATCTTCCTGCAGAGTTCCTTTCTGCCAGACGGTAATTACAGCCTTTTGTTATAAAAATAGCAAAGATTTAAATTCCACAGTGGGAGTGTTTATATCCCTCTGCAGTCACTTCAGTGTGTCTATTTCTGTGATGCAGGGACCTATGCACAATCTAAAAATAATGCAGATCAATTTGGATGTGAGCATTTGATAAAGACAACCTAGCATAGATTTATATTTGTCCAGAATTATTAAATGGTCTAGACTAGAATATCATCTTCTTAAAATACCAAGCATTGAGTCACACAGAAGACTTAAGGAAATAGCAACTGCAGAAACCCACAGAAGTTTCTAGATTAAAAGTGAGCAAACACTGAGGGGAGGCAGGATAAGAGCCACTGAAGTGGCTGAGTATTGGGTTTGAATTCTGTGGAGCCCTCTGAAAAGGAAATCACTTGGAAATCACCAGCAGCAGAAAAGCAGGTTAAAGGCGGGAGCAGAGGAAGCTTCAGTAAGCAGAGAGGCCGCAGGACGCTGCCTCAGAAGCTCCTGCTGTCAGCCCAGGAGGGACCTGGGCACAGCGCCTAGGCATGCAGATCCCGGGAAGGAAGGCTGGCCCTCAGGAGGTGGAGCTGCGATGCCCTCGGGAGCTTGCTGTCACCCCCACCCAGCAACCAGCCTGCGGGAATGGTGGGGACAGGGGGTACCGTGCAGTCCCGGGGACCTCTGCCTCCGCTCGCCTCACACTTTCATGTGCAAGGCACACACGTGAGGAACACCCGAGAGAAGGGTGCGTGGGGGGCCGTGCCGGGGGCTCTGTCCAGGGTGGGCACTGTCCTTCCAGAAACGCTGGAGGCCGAGTCCAGAGATTCAGAGAAATGGCCCAGCCTCAAGAGGACAATTTGGACACCAAAGCCCAGAACCAAGGACAAGTCCATTGTGCCAAGAGACACTATTGACCACACAGGGCCAATGGAGGCCACAGGAGCTGAGGTCCCACCTTGATATGATACAGCAGCCCAAGCTAGAGCCTCACCCTGTCATGGTTACCACTGTGTGGCTCCTAAGGCTGGCACAGGCCTGCCCACAGGGCAGGAGGGCATAGGTTAGAGTGGACAGCAGGAGTCCCCAAAGGCTGAAGTCCAGGGCTTAGGAACAGGGCAAGGGGACTGACCGACCCAACTCCCCACGATGGGGGCTGTGCCAAGTGGGCTCTGCTCATCCTGTGACACCCGGTCCTAGTTGGGCCTGGGCCCAGCCATCAGCCCCAGCTCCTGCTTCAGTCCTAGGTCTCCCTGCACTAGACTGGGGCCCTTGAGGACAGGGACAAGATCGACCCACTTCCTTTTGCCTGAACAGAACCTGCTCACCAGGAGGCTCTGAGCAACAGGGAGGGGAGAGGGGCAGGAGGAGGAAATAGGAAAGGAGGTCAGACCACTCCAGGCCAGAACCCAGACGGCCTTGCCTCTGACAAAACCAACCGTGGACTCTCAGGGCACACTCACCGAGCCGTTGATGCAGGGAACGTCATCGTAATGCAGGGCTGTCCCACTGGGGTGAGCGTATCCATTGGAGGTGCTCCCTAGGTAGGGGCTGGTGGACACCCCACGCCTGTTCATGAAGCTGAGAGAGAAGGGAGAGTGAACACGCCCGCCTGCCTGTTTCCCTCCCAGCTGCACCAGCACTCAGTGGCCGAGGGGCCTCAGAAGGCCCAGGCAGAGGCAGGACGTCACCTGCAGGGCTGGGCCGAGCCCTTGCCTGCTTAGTCAGGACGGGCCCATCTGACACACCTGCGGCGAGGGCCAGTGGCGGTGAGTGCACAGGTTCACCCAACAACCACCGTCCTCTGTGAGTCGGCCAGCCCTGCACAGCTGATAAGAAAGCCGTACTAGAGCCAGCTGGAGGCTCTGCTGATATGCCGTCTCAGTCCGTGATCTCTCGAGGGCAGAGGACCCAGGGCCTGCAGAGCTGAGACACCACCTGCCTGTTTCTGGGAGAAGCCCGTGGACTGCTTTCTAGGCTCTCCACATGCTGTTCCGAGACGCGCTCTATCCCCACCACTGCACAGCACGCCTTCGCTTGGCCCTGACCTTCCCAGGCCCTGTGGTGGCCACAACAACCTTCAGAAGGTGCCACTGTGGGAAAACATATGCTGGGGACTTTGTCCCCATTCCTGGCCAGAGCTTCTCTAACCATGGAACTCCTGAGTGACAAGAGAAAGGGAAAGGCCACCTGTTATTAGTCACGAGCCCTTCACAGCCCCTGGGGTTCTGTGAATGAGAGACCTCTGGAGCACCTGGAGGACGGAGGCAGTCACCAAAAGAACAGCCACATGAGCCCAGGTCGGAGCTCCCAGCCCCCAGGGCAGAACAGTCCTGTCCACCTGGAGAGCAGGCCGAGGGCTGGGGCTGGGCGTGCAGGGTGGGCATGGAGCCCTCTGCCACGCTCTGTGGCTGCTCCGGGCTGCAGCCTCTCAGGACACACAAGTGAACCAGTCAGTGCACTGGAGCTGGCCTTCTAATCAACAGTGGGGCCAGAGCTGGCTTGCAGAGCCTCAGATCACCGCTGGACTGTCAAAGGACTGGGACAGTCTGGATACTGAATGACATTCCCTATGGTGTGGTCCTGGGGCTAGAGCCCTCACCCACAGGGCCTTTACTGTGCCCAGGTGACACTGCCAGACTTGAGCACACTGCAGGACGTCCAGCCAGCGTCCACAGAGTAAAGGAGAGCTGCCTGGCCCAGGAAGGGCACTCACTCTTGGCAGCCAAGGGGCAGAGCGAGAGCACCTAGGGCGTGGGAAAAGGACGCAGACCAGACGTGTGTCGGTGCCCAGTGCACTCAGGGCTCCAAAGTTGCCCAAGAAAGTCCAAAGTGCTTCCCTGAGAAGGAGGCAGTGCAGGGCTTGCCCTGTCTCCCTCCGCCTTCCCAGCCTCGGGGGCGCCAACTGCTCTCGGCTCCACCAGGCACCTTTGGCCTCAGAGTCACTGTGGCCCTTCTGCCTAGGAGCTCCTCTCAGATGGCTCACGGGCCTGCCTATGTGGGCCACCCGCACCACGTCCCACCACAGCACCACGAACCCCCTCCACCCCCTTCCTCCTCCCTCTCTCCACCACCTGGCCTGCCGTGGTGTGGTGTTTACTGGTTTATCAGCTGCTTCTCGCCACTAGAGGACCAGATCTGGGGGAACGTGGCCTTGTCAATCTGGGCACTCCAGAGACACACAGGGTGTTGGCAAGCTGTGCTGACTGAGGCTGGCCTCTCAAGAGGCTGCTTGTTCTAGCAGAAACCTAAGTGCCTGGGAAAGACAAGCTCGAGAGCATCTGCTCCTAATCGGGAAACTTAAACCAGCCTAAGTTTAAAAAGGGATTTTATTTTCTTCATAGGATCTTGATGGTCACCAGATGAAAAATAGCAGGAGAAATTCAGGGTTAAGGAAAGTGCCTCCCAAGCCAACTAGGCTGCAAGTTCCGAAGCCGGTGGGGGACCTGCCCAGGCCCGTGGGTCCCCCTCGCGGAACGTGGCTGCCCTCTGTTGGGCAAAAGGCAGCCATTGCATCACCAGCCTGTGTGAAAGCAGCGTGGGAGGAAAGCCACGGCTTAGCACTGTTCAGAAAATCGCTGTGACCTTGTGGCCGCCTGGACACACACCTGCCAGCACACAGGCTCTCTCCAGGAAACCTAACCTGTCTTTTTCCTTCACTCATAAAAAACTGATACAAGTAATCTATACTTAAAATACACATAAGTCAATGTAGGAAAATACGATGCATAGGAAAAGATAAATACAAAAATCTCGGAGATCTGCAAGAGCAGATGTGACTTTTAAGCACACATTGAAGGATCTCTCACTGGAATGCCTCCCTTGAGGTCTGACCGTGTCAAGGTGATCTGGACACTTCCTGTGAGTGGGGACAAACAGTGGTGCCAGGTGGCGTGAAGCCCAGCTGCATGTGCACAGCTGCACACTGACTCAGTGACAAGTATGAGTGTCCCCCTCATGGCAGGGGCTCTCCTACTGGTCTGTGGCTTTGGCCTCTGGTGCCCTGTCAGCACAGATAATAGGAGGACAGCAGCCCTCCTTCCTTGAATGAGGAGAACCCACAGGATGGTTTAGGAAGCCCTTGGCAGGACGGGGAGTATCCGAACTCAAGGTCACAGACACAGAAATGTCCCAGGTGGCAGACACCTCCTCCACTGGACAGTCCCCCCAAAGTTACAGAGAGGGACTTGGGTCAGGGAGCAAACTCCAGGCCAAACAGCACATGGGGCCAAGGACAGGCATTAGGATCACGTCTTTGGTCACTACTCTTTCTGTGATGATTTTCAGCCATATATAAAGGGGAAGTGGGCAAAGCCCATAGGAAATACCAGGACACAACATGCGGGAACCCGGAGAAGGCGCCTGCAGAGGACAGCTCCCCTCTGCCAGAATCAACCTCACCTCGGGACAGCCATCCGGGGGTCTGTGACCAGGCACACTTTGCAACAGGTTCAGGAGAAAACTTCCCAACATGTCCTTGTGTCATTCACTTGAAACTAGGCCCTCAGGGGAAACGCCCCAGCCCTTTACCATCCCTAACATCCTGGGGATGCATCTTCTGGGAGACTCTGTCATTTTTTTCTTTTCTGGCCCTTTTCCAAAATATATTATTGCCTTTCTCCCTCTGTGGAACAGAAATCATGCCATCAGGAGACCCACCGCCCTGACACCAGGGCACTGGCTCGTCTTGCACATGGGTGGCCTCTCGCCTGGCATCCCTCATGAAGATCTTTCAACTGGTGACACTTTACTGTTCAAAACCACCAAAACTATCACACCGGGTTTTGCTACTATCTCTTTAGAAGGGTTCCTGCCTACTTAAAAGCCACTGAGCTCATGGCCAGGTAGAATGTGCAAGGGCATGTCTCAGCCATGTGCTACCACCTGATCCTGGGGTGACGCCTGCAGTGCCAGGTCTGCAAGTCACGGTGGCCTGCCTACTGCCTTTTCAAGAAAAATGACAGTTTTAAAAGGCAGCCATCCACTGACGACTCTGCTGGAGAAGAGTGCCCCCTGGAGTCCACCACAGGGCTCTGCATCGTGGCCCCACAGGGCCTCCCAGGGCAGCCCTGGCATAAGAGACAGGAGCTCACAGTCTCCCAGCTGGCCTTACAGAGAAGGACACCCTAAGGGAACCCAGTGTCTCCTTGGCTGAGCAAGGGGAAGGGGCAGGGACGAATGCCGAGAGCACAGTGCAGAGGAGCTGCCTGCCCGCCTTTGCCTCTGCATCACCAGCCCATGTGACAGCAGCGTGGGAGGACAGGCACAGCTCCGCACTGTTAGGAGAGTCTCTGCAGCCTTGCAGTTGCCTGGACGCACACCCAGAACTGCCGCTACAGAGCTCCTTGCCATCACTATGTCAAGGAAATACTCAGGGTTCAGAAGAATGTCTCAGCACACAACAGCACTTCTTTAAAGACAGGATTTAGACTTCAGATAAAATCAGAATTTGAATTTACATAAAGCACTGGAGTGAGGGCTTTATATCCTGGTCTTCATTCCAGTGATGCAGAGTCAGTTCTATGGAGAGAACCCACACAGGGGTCTGCAGAAGGCCCACAGGCCAGACCCAGCCCGCTGACTATTTCTGCAATACTTCTGTGGGTGGCACGGCCTCCCCATTCACTGGTGTATCAGCTCTGACTACAACGGCAGAGCTAAGGGGCCCGCAGAGTCAGAACCATTTACCATGCCGTCCTTTATCCAAGTTTGCCGACCCTTGATCCAGCAGAAGTCCCAGAGGGTTAAAATGATAAAAATGCCCAGCAAAATCAGGGTTACCATAGTAAAAGAGCGCACGCCTCAGGGCGTGCGTTTGTTGGTCTTCACACTCAGGCAGCCCAGGTGGAGGGGAAGAGGAGGGAAAGCAGCCGCTTAGCTCCAGCACCATCCTCGGGCGGGGTCTTACCAGAAGGTCTGCTTGGCCGTCTGAATGATGTTTGCAGACATCTCCACGTCTATGTAGTCGTAGTGCAGAGCTCCGGGGTCTGTCGACGACCCCGTCTCAGCCAGCAGGACCCCAATCCACCTGCCCATGTCTTCAGAAGAAGAGGCCTGCAGGGGAAGAAAAGTGCTTCACTGAACTGAAGGTGAACCCTTCCTCCATTCTGAAAACCGCATCCAGAGAGACCGCAGGACAGGAAGGCAAGGCAACACCGAGTACCAAAGGCAGAGTGTGAAGGAGCACCGACGGAGTCTACCCAAGGGGCGCCTGGCGTGGCCTTCAGGCCACCTTTACGCAGGGCTTCCAAAACAGCCATAGAAGGCAGGCAGCAGGCCTGGTCCTGAAGTGCTCCTGCTTACTTGGGCGAAAGGCCCAGGTGTCATGACGAAGACAGGGATGTGACTCAGTCAGTCCCAGCTAAAGGGAGCGGTTTCAGAGTCTCGTGGATGGCTCTGCCCCTTGCCCTCCAGCTCCTGTGGCCTGGAGTGGTCTGGGTCTCTGGACTAGAGGGTTTAAAACTCAACCCACTTTACGGCCGACTGTTTTGCAGTGCCACTCTGTTTTGCAGCTGCCAGGCTGTACTGAATGTGCCATTTGTAAGACGTTTGTAATCCCCACCCCCACCTGAATTGCTTAATCTGTAAGAATGAAATATATCTTCAAGTTTATACTCATTAAAAATTTAAGTTATCCTTGTTGAGTAATTTAGAAAATCAGTTATGTTACATTTTTAAATAAAATTTGACTAATTAAATATGTCAGAATATCTAAAGCTTAGGGAGAGTTCAGTTATTAATTTATGAGTTGACTAGAGCCAGGTACGGTGGTGGTAGGGGACAGACAGGTGTGAATGGCAAGAGCAGGAGGTTAAGAGAATAATCCTATAACATGGGCCTGCTGTGGCGACCCCCACATGCTTTCTTTTCTAAGAAGCAATTTATCTGCAGCCCTGCCTGGCTCATGGACCGGATATATCACATTCCTCAGCAAACTACCTGTCAACTGCGGGATGTCAATGGGAGAGACCCAGATTTTTGTGACCTGATCCTGAAACTCAGGGAGATAAGGACAGAACCTCCTAACCATAAACTGGTAAGAAAGTGTAACTGGTAAGAATCCACTCAGAATTGGTCAGCATGGCCAGGTGGCCTAGAGCTGCTGACAGGGGAACTGGAAAGTCTGATGTCATCCTGCTGTCAGTTACAAGTCGAGGAGGACCTGGGCGGGCTGCTCTGGAAACTTCCTTGGGACCCAACAACCTGGAGAGCAGGAGAAGCACACTGTCCCTCTCCTCTCTGAAAGGACCCTCCCCTTTCCCTTTCCCCACCCCTTCAGGACACTCAGGCCTGCTACTCTGAGTGAATGTCTGAAATCTTTCTGACTTGATGGCAAGAATCAGGGCTTGAAGAGGGGTCTTCACACTGCCTCAGTTTCTCAAAAGGCCCCATCTCCGTAACAGTGGCACACACCTGTAATCCAGGTTACTTGGAGGCCAACCTCAGCAACCTAGTGAGGCCTTATCTCAAAATTAAAAAAATAAATAAATAAAAGGAATGTAGCTCAGTGGTAGAAAGGCCCTTGGTTCAATTCCCAGTACTTCCCCAAACAAACAAACAAAACCCTATGAGTTAACTGAATGTTAAAGAAAAAAAATTTTTTTTATAAATAATGGTAATTATTATTTTTTAGATATTTTTTAATTGTCATTGAACACAATATCTTTATTTTATTTATTTACTTATTTAATGTGGTGCTGAGGATCGAATCCAGGGCCTTGCATGTGCTAGGTGAGCGCTCTACCCCTGAACCACAATCCCAGCCCCTACTATTATTTTATTATTGTTATTATTCAGTACTAGAACTTGAACTCAGGAACACTTAATCATTGAGGCATATCACTAGCTCTTTTTAGTTTTTATTTTGAGACAAGGTCTCACTATGTTGCTTAGGGCCTTTCTTAGTTTCTGAGGCTGGCCTTGAACTTGTGAACCTCCTGCTTCAGCCTCCCAAGCCTCTGGCATTATAGGCATGAACCACCATGCTTCATTTAAAAAGAAATCTAAAAATTGTTTTTTTAAATGAAGACCTATAAATTGAGCTTAAAGAAGCTTGGGTTTTATAATTATATTCCACACCACAAACAAAAACCTCTCTGGAGGAAAAGCCATTAGTAAAGAAGAAGGTGTTTTGGAGATTGATCATGTTGGCTGGTAACTGATGTTTTCCACACAACAAATCATTCCTGACCAGGACCAGAGAGGCTATTAAGAAAAGTGAAGGAACTCCAGCTATGTGCTAGAGACGGTGCTCAGTGCTTGGTGGATGAAGATCAACTGACTCCAACACTCCAGTTCGTTCTCTTTGTAGGTCTTTAGTCCTTCTCCAAACAAAATCTATATCAAGAAAGCAATGGTGCGGGGTGGGGCGGGGGCTCCGGTGCAGCACTTGCCTGGCATGTGGGAGGTACCAGGTTCGATTCTCATCACCACATATAAATAAATAAAATAAAGGTCCATCAACTAAAAAAAATTTTCTAAAAAACCAAGAAAGAGCGGGCACTGGGCTGAGGGGCAGCTGGTGGGAGAGCTCACCTGAGCCTGCCAGCCCTGGCTCCACCACTGGCAACAATGTAGCCTCGGCCACTCTCTAGCTGCTCCTTGTATTTTACAGAGGAGCTGCCAAGTCCTTCAACACAATGCCTAGGGCCTGACAGGTACTGTTACACTACGGTTCACTCATCATTTTCCTCATGGTCCATTTTATGAAATTTCCTCTTAGTCCTTAAAAAAATAACCCTGTGGTATTGGACTGGCATCGGAGGTACTAGTCATGATCTCACCGTTAAAATAATACATCAGACGGACATGTAGGTGCATGGTTCTGGGCATGGGTGTGTAGATGTGTGAGCAGTGCCCAGGTGGCCCCCTCCCCACGCAGGGCTCTCGCTGTGACGACGCCAGCGGGGGAATGAGGGGAACAAGGTCTGAACCAATCGGGGTAGAAAAGAAGTCAATGTATCACATAAACATGTATGAATGAGCGTGTTTATGATCTGCGCATGCACACCTATTTCCTGAGTGTGTCTACTCAAGGGCCCAGAAATAGGAGCGAGCCCGCCCGGCCACAGCCCTGGCTTCCTCACACCCCTCTCCACTAGGAGGCACTGAGGCCTCTGCAGGGATGTGCCCACCTGGGCAGGGAAAGCACCACCCCCTGCTGCGACACACAGAAAGTGGCCCAGGATGGCGGGGACCACCGTCTCCATTACAGGGGCACAGCAAAGGACACAGGAGCCAGTGTGCAGGGCATTTGACCAAAACTAATCATGATAAAACAGGACTACCATGGCTAATTAAAATAACAGTCTGTGGGGCTGGGCATGGCTTAGCAGTAGGGCACCTGCTTACCAGGCTCCAGGCCCTGGCTGGATCCCAGCACCACCCAAGCAAATCAGACAAGTAAACAAGCCAACGAAGAGCAGTCGATGAATGGCCACCCACACAGCAAGGTAGCTGAATGAATGAGTAATGATGAGTTGGAGTAAGGGGAAATCCAGAAGGAACAATGGAACTGAAAACTCACCATTTAGCAACTGTCGTCATAATGACTGTTTCAGGCAAGTCATTAGCAGATTCTAAGATTAGTGGGTGCAATCCACTAATAACAGCACAGACACACACCTCAGAGGACCTTCCCACGTGATAATTAATGAAGACAAAGGAAAATGGCAGTATCTCACGAGAGGGAGCCCTACACGGGTCACATGAACCCAGGTAGCTGAGCCGGTCCTGATGGGACGCACTGTGGGATGTCGCCACTTCCAAGGGCTCCTGCCAAGGTGGGCCCCTATTCCTATACAAGGCGGCAGCAGACATGCCTAACAGGAGGGACCTGCTGTGCCCTGCAAAAGCCCCACCGTGGTGAGAGCAGTCAGGGGCTGGACCCCGGCAGCGGGTGCAGGTGGACTTCCTTCTGCCCCTCAAACATCAGAGCTGCTGGCAAAGTCCGACTGAGGTCTAGGAGTCGGACGGGAGGTCTGTGTGCGGCCAGTTCCTGATCTCAGAGTCATTCTGTTGCTCGGGGGGCAGATAGCCCTTGGTTTTGGCAAACACACCCTCAAGCACTCACAGATAAAGGGGTGGCTAGGAAGGCTTCCCAAGACCCCATACACGGACAGAAGACTGGGTGGAAGGTACTCGGGCACTCTGTGCTGCTCCTGCAACGCCGCGGCAAACCCGGAGTTACCTCAACACAGAAGGAAGTGGCCCTGGAGGAGCGCAGTGCCGCCTCGCAGGCTGGCCTGCAGCTGGTGACTGGCAAAGGCAGGGCCAGCTGCTCCTCCTGGGGTGCTGTGGTGCTTTGTTCCCGTCACTCTAAGTGATACTGCTAAGACTTCACATTCTTGCCCCCATGCTGGGGACTCAGTCCCTCCTGCTTCTCAAGGACTGAGCCTCCTCCAGAGCCTGCACATCTGGAAGGTGTGCCGCCTGGCTTCTCTCAGGGCCTGCAGAGGGGCTGCTCACCAACCCCGGGACTCGGCCCTATCCGTCCAGGCCCCCTCCACTGGACACGGAGCCCAGCTTCTCACTCTGCTCAGGGTTCGCCACCACCCTGGGACTGCTGCCAGAGCTCGGAGAAGACCCACATCCCGACCCTGGGAAGATGGCCTCCTGGCCTGTTTTCAACTTCTCTGGGCCGCCACCACCCGACAGGCTTCAGACCACATTGTGCTTAGGAGGGCACCGACGTTCTACAGACCCACAGAGAACAGCCCACGCAGGCTCAAGGTCCGAGGAGGAGCGAGGACTGGACCTGCCTCCTGAGGGATAAAGCCTGTCTGCAGGAGTGGCCAGCAGGGGACGCAGCCAGGCATCCTGGCCTGTCCTGCCTCAAACTAGGGGCAACTGAACCTGTGGCAAAAAGCAATGATCCATCTGTTTCTGAGCAGTACCAAAAAAATAAAGCAGTTTCTGTGAAAACAGTCCCTGAAACCAACTCCACCTGAAGTTCAAGATCATGCTGACCGCCTGATGGGGCACCTCACTCCTGGTCCTGGCTCGTTTCCCGACTAGCCACTTAGGCTTTGGCACCCCGTTTGGCACCCCCAGCCCCTCTGCAGGCCCGAGGCAGCCTCACTGCTCCTGACCAACAGACACGCTCACCCAGACTCTGGAAATCCTGCACCTCGACAGCCTTGGCACAGGCACATAGCGTGCCCGGGTGGCCCCCTCCCCACGCAGGGCTCTTGCTGTGACGACGCCAGCGGGGGAAGGAGGGGAACAAGGTCTGAACCAATTGGGGTAGAAAATAAGTCAATGTCACAAAGGAAAAACAATTTTTTTCAGAAATGAACATTTTGAGGATGTAGGTATTATTTTAATTATGTTTTTTCTGCTTTTGGTAAATGGACAAATATCATTTGCTGGTGAGTCAAACAAATAATAAAATGCATACAAAGTCCGTTTATAACTCAAAGGTGTTCTTGGTTCCTGTGTCACTGGCTCATGGCCCTATCTTCATGGCCACAAGTGGCCCCAAAATGCCTGTTCCGCAAGGAATTTTTAAAGGACAAGTTCAACACTACCATTGCAAAGGCAGCCCATTGTCAGAAGAAAAATGTTTATTTTGGGGGGGTACCGGGGATTGAACTCAGGGGCACTCAACCACCGAGCCACGTCCCCAGCCCTATTTTGTATTTTATTTAGGGACAGGGTCTCACTGAGTTGCTTAGCATCTCCCGGTTGCTGAGACTGGCTTTGAACTCGCAATCCACCTGCCTCAGCCTCCGGAGATGCTGGGATCACAGGCATGCGCCACCGCGCCCAACAAGAAAAAGGTTTTAAGGGAAATCTTACAAGTTATTCCTGGGCCACTTAGGAGAAAAGCCATCCACTCTGTGGAGCTCTGTGTTTAATTTCTGTGCAAACATGTGCAAGAAGTCACCAGGGACAGGCCTGAGCTGCTCAACCGGCAGAGCTTGGCTCTGTGCTGCTGCCTTGTCCAGATCGCAGACAGAGCCACCGAGAAGAAGAGGGATCAGAGACAGAAAGGCAGCCCTGCCAGACGGGAGGACACTGGGAGGGACAAGGAAGGGAAACCATGGCGAGCCCCAGAACACCGTACCTCCAGCACGGCGACCTCCTGTCCATTGCGAAGCAGCCGGAATGTCAGCGGGTGCTTGGAGTCCAAGCCTGGGATCACCTCACAGCCACGGAGGGGAATGGACGCGACGTGGGTCTTCAGGTCAGTCCTGTCCTTGTGGAAGACGAGCTTGTTGTCCCTCACTCTGCACCAGCGCTCCCGCCAGCGGTTGTTGGACAGCACGTTCAGGTAGCCTGCAAGAGACGCGGGAGCTCAGCCTCCAGGAAGGAGGACACGCCCCTCACAGGCAGAGCTCTAACACAAACTGCTCAACAGGAGGAGCTGGTGCACCACACAGCGAGTCCCCCACGAGGACAGCAGAGCCACACCCAGACGTCTCCCGTCCTGGTGCGCAGAACAGGTCCTGGTGCTTGAGGCCTATTTGGGAATCTGGAAGTCATCTGGAGAATGTGACAGTTGCTTAGCCCCTGGGCTTGGGATGGCTGGAAGGAAATGGGGACACAAGCTGCCTTCACCACAGGGAGGACATGCAAAAGGACACAGCTGCAGGTGCCACAGCAGGGTAGCAGCCGTGGGAAGGCGGGAGGGGGACAATGAGGGAACACACCATGGAAACTTGTAACAGGAGGCCCAGAGGTGGGCACTTCCTGACCCTGGACACATTCCAGCAAGTGGTGGAGAGCAGAGGGCACGACACTCACGGCCTGGGCCGTGAGGGACACAGTGCTCCCCACCCTCCTCCAGCTGGCTCGAGATGCACGTGGCTGTGAGGGGCGGGGGCGGAGCCAGGAGGCGCAGTGCACACGGGAATGCTCCTGCTGCTTCTCCACCTGCGAGGCAGTAGCCCGTTGTTTAAGAGAAACTCCTCAAATATGGGATGTGAACAACCTTCAATTGTTATAAGCACAAGATGTCTTTCTCTAAAAATAACGAAGCCTGAGGAATAGACTCCAGGAGTTGCTGTGACCTCCAGCCCCTCCAAATGCTGGGAAACTGCTGCCCCTCCTTGAAGACTAGAGAGTTGAGTCAAAGGGCTCATAAGATGCTGACGAACAGCCTGGAAAGAAACAAAACCCGGATCCTGCTCTTGCCGCTCCACCATCACTGCATGCACACGCACGAAGACGCTCACGCGTGCTCACGTGCACACGGCCTGGCTCAAAGGTGTTAAGAAAACAACACAAATTCTTTCTAATCGTGGTTTTCAAAATGCCTTTCCAAAGGCTTGGGGGGTGCTTTCTATTTCTGTGCAAGGACATCACTCGTAGGGGCGCTGTGAGCCTCCGGAGCTGTGGACGGAAAGGACAGTGCTCATGGCAAGACCTCCTCTCAAGCTGACCGCTGCCTGCGCGTGGGGGTGACAGGCACAGGATGACTGTTCGGAATCAGCCCTGAGCTCTAGGGTGCTGTCACTCTGCAGCCAGAGCTGCTAGAACACATGGGGCCTGTGCTCGGGAGGGACCTGAGGCTGAGACGCATTCAGGGGGACCTGGAGAGACGGGTGACCCCATACCTGCAGGAGGCAAGCAAACACGGCCACGGAGACTCCAGTCTATGTGACAGATACGTCTCAGAGGCCAGTCAGGTGGGGGCCCAGCTGAGATGCAGAAGGTGGCATGGAGCCGTGATCAGAGAAACCAGAGGCCACACGTTCATCTGGGGATTTGGCAGTGAACAGGCGGCCGCAGGGCCTGCTCACGGCAAGGACAGGACTCCTTCTGAAAGCCCACGGCTCCAAAGGGGGTCTCGCGGTGTGGGCGCCTGCTTCCTCCTGGGCTCGACACTTTGACGTGGGCAGGAGCTGTGGTCACTGAGCCCCATCTACCACTCAGAGAGAGAGGCATGTGCCCTCTGGCAATCGTATTTTTTTTCAAGTTTTTCAAATTTCATTTGTTCTTTTGAGTTACACATGAGAGTACAGTCTATTTTGACATATTTATGCAAAGATGGAATGTGCCTTATTTTAATTAGGATCCCAGTCTTGTGAATGTATATGATGTGGAGATTCACTGAGGCATGTCCATAGGAAAGTTTAGTCAGATTTATTCCACTGTCTTTCCTATTTCCATCCCCCCTTCCTCTCTCCAGTCTCTTTTGTCTAACCCAATGAACTTCCATCTCCTCCCACTTGGTTGTAGGTTAGCATCTGCATATCAGAGAGACATCTGAACTTTGTTTCAGGATTGACTTATTTCACTTAGCATGACAGTCTCCAGATCCTTGCATTTACCAGCAACTATCATAGTCATTCTTCTTTGTGGCTGAGTAATATTCCATGGGGATATCTACCACATTTTCTTTATCCATTCATCTGTTGAAGGGCACCTAGGTTGGTTCCAGAGCTTAGCTATGGTGAACTGATGTGGTTGTGTCATTGTAGTTTGCTAATTTGAAGTCCTTTGGTTATATGCTGAGGAGTGGAATAATGGAGTCAAATGGTGATTCCATCCCTAGTTTTTTTAAGGAATTTCCTCACAGCTTTCTAGAGTGGTTGGACCAATCTATAGTCCCACCAGCGATGTGTGAGTGTGCCTTTCCCCACATCCTCATCATGCCTTGGACCTTGTATTCTTGGTAACTGTGGCAATGTTTTCTTCCTAGACAGGACCTGGCCCGGCACCCTGGTCCTGTGTAGTCCCCACGTCTCAGGCACACAGGGAATGCCTGGAGCGAGACTTCCCAGGAGCTGCCATATTTTAACACCTTTCTTGGGTTTATTCAGTTTCAAAAAGGGGGGAAAAAAGAAAAGAAAAAGACCCAGAAAACAGGGGAGCCCTCCCACAAACAGAAAGCCCCAAGGAAAAATGTTCGTGTTTGGCAACTACCTCCCCGTGCAGCCCAGGGTTCCCCGCTTTCTTAAAAGGGGAGCCCCGAATTCTCATTTTCTGGGTGGGGACATAGAGAAGAGGCCAGGACTGGAAATGGCAGAAAGCCCATGGAGCGGGTCTGGAACCAGAGCGAGTCTCCCTTCCCCCAGTACCCTTCCCTTCCAACCTAACACCCAGCCTGGCTGACAAAATCAGACCAGGGTGGGAAGGAAAGCGTCTCCAGGAACCCTGAGCTGGAGCAGACGTTCACCACCAGGGGGCACCAAAGTGCAGCCCGGGCCTGGAGGCCAGACCCTGGGTGAGGGCCAGAGGCTGAGACTCCAGGGGACTGCGGACATGGCAAACCTTCCCTAGGAAATTCAGGCTGTTGCTGACGTTTGCTCCACTTACATCACGGTGGTGTGCCGCTGTACCTTAAAAACTTGAATTCCAGTTTAAAGTTTTCAGATTATTTCTCTCCAAATTCCAAAGGAAACTTCTCAGTGCCGTGGCAAGAGTGCCTGAGATTTCATCAGAACTAAAAATCAACTTTCCAGGTATGAAATTAGACAACAACAGAATCCCAAAGCGTGGGCAGAGGTGGCCACACACCCTCCCCTAGCCAGCTGTCCCTCAGCCTGGCGTCTCTGGCCAGGGCCAGGGGCTGTTGGATTTGGAGCTGCAGGAGGCAGGCAGGGCCACCTCTCACAGGTGGCCACGTTTCATTGCCACTCTCTTTAGGAAGGGAAGCAGCAGTGCCTGTGCCAGAGGCCGCTGTCCTTTGTTCACATGTGAGGCCTCTGATCCAATGCAGCTGCTTGCTGGGTTGCTGCAAATGCCTGAGCACAATCAGAGACTGCAGACATCTGGCACAGCTCTGCCAACACCAAGGGTCATTTCCGTCTAGCCTGCCCCCCAGCCAGGGCTGAGGAATGGGCATGCAGGCACCCAGCACAGGGCTCTCAGATGGAGGGGGTTGTGACAAGAAGTGAGAAGTCCCAGCTTTCCTGATCGGCCATCGAACGCCATCACTGGAAGTGCTATATAGTCCTTCACTGGCAAGTCCTTCAGGCTCAACCCAGACTACCCTGTGCTGGCACCCTGGGGAGGTCAGGGTGCAGGGTGCCAGCTTGGCCCCTGGTTGTACGCAGGCTCCCGTGGCCTTGTGTGGCTCCATGCTGCATGCGGGTGCTCAGCTCTGTGAGCAGCTGTGGGCACAGCGCTCAAGTCAGGTGTGGGCTGCGGCTCTGTGTGTTTTTCTTTGGCTTTTGTGAAAACCAAGGAATTTATCACGTGGCCCACTTCACAGTCAGGGCAGCTGAGGCTCCGGGCAGGCAGGCTGCTCAGGGAACCCATGCAGACCGCACCGTCTCAGCGCTCTCCTCTGCAGGTGCTGGGAGCAGGGTGCGCAGGGGAGAGCAGGGCTGAGTCTCAATTGGGAAGAGCAGAGCCTGGACGCAAGGCTGAGGAGGCCCCTGAGGCACCGCGCGGGCAGCAAGCGGGCGCTCTGGCGTCTTGGCACAGGAGGATGTGATGGTGTGAGGTCCAACATCTACCTGGGGCCTAGCAGGAAGCAGGGTGGAACCACAGCTGGGTACGGGAGGGGGGGAAGGGGATGGAGGGGCACTTCTGCTAGAGCTTAATTTATAAGGAGCCAAGAATTCAATCGCACAGGCACAGGGAAGGCAGAGAACAGAGCTGCCCTGGTTAGGGGCCTGAGCACATCTTGGGTACATTGTCTGAGTGGCCGTGCACAGAGCTGACCAGACCACTGCTAACCACGCATCACTCGTGGGTGTCATGGAAGGATGGAGACATGGGACTGGGGCAGCCACAGGGTGCCACGTGGGGAGGCTCAAGCAGGCTGTGGTCCCCACGGCCCTTCCTGTGAGCACTGAAGAGCACCAGCCCTGCCTCCAAGAGGCCCTGCAGTGCCTTAGTCCCAGTGACCAGGCTGTGCCCAGAGAGGAGGGGAGGCTGGCTCAGTCTCCCGCGCTGGGGAGCTTTCCCTGCCCTTCTATCCACTCGGCACGGCCTCCTGGGAGCAGCACAACAGCTGAAGAGGCTCCGCCCGCCTGGCAGGGCTGGTCCCTGGGCCCAGATCCAGCCACTCTCCTCTGCCTGAAACCCTGCAGCTGTGCCGAAATAACCTGGCGTGGTCACTACCCACCAGAGGAAGCATCTCACAGAGAGGAGCCACACCGAGCAGGGTGGTGGAGTCTGGTGCGTGGGCCACATGCTCCTCCTGCTCAGTGGAGATCAGCTGCACTTCCAAGAAAGGGCCGGCAGTGAGGTTTATGCTGCGTCTAATTACACAGAGAGGGTCACTCATTAGGAGTCCTATGAGTGGCAAGCTCTTTTGGACAAGAAAGCTGAGGGAAAAGGCAGAATATGAGGAATCAGCTAAATCAGAGAGCCAGCTCCGCCCTCAATGAGCGGTGTGACTTGCAGTTAGTCACTCAACCTCTCTGAGCTTCAATATTCTCATTTGCATAAGGAGAGTTTGGACTACAGTCTCTGAGTTGCCTTCCATATTAGTAACTGCTTTTCACAAAAGAATTCCTATTTCCTCCACTGACCTAGAGCAGTTTACACTGCAAACACAATTAACCCCTAACTCCCATCCTGTTGCAAGCAAGGGCTGATGGGAGAGGAAATTCCCCAGTGCTCCCAGAGGACAGCATGGCGTTGCCAGCCTGTACACCAGTCTCCACCCCCAGTGACAGCTCTGCCCCACCTGGCAGATCCAGGCAAGTTCTTTCCTTGTGGATAGAAAGAACGGCAGTGTCCCTCGCCCGGCTTCTGTCTGCATCAGCCCTGACAAGGACAAGGACTGTACTCCTGGGCACCGTCTCTGCACAGCGTCATCGGTCTCCCAACCCACCTCACAGGCTGTGGCTCCCACTCCCACGGGACACATGGCGACAGCTCCTGCAACCCTGTGAGGCCTTCCCAGCCGCCGCCCAGAGGGCTGCATTCTGTCCACGAAAAGCTGACACCAGCCAACACCCCAGAACCCCGGGGGAGCTTGGAGGGGGCTGCCTGGTCCCCACCCACCCTCCCTCCTGCTCCTGCCCCACCGCGGTGCTCCTTCTGCAAAAGACGTGGGAGCTGCTGCACCTTTACCTCCGTGTTCATGGCCCAGCTTGGGCCCACGGGGCAGGACCCACATGCTGCCCTTTTGCTACCCTCAAAGACCCCCAAGACCTTGGATGTGACATGCTCAAGGAGGGAGAGGGGAGAAGGGGGCGGGCAGCAGGAAGTGAAGGGAGGCGGGAAGCTGAGGGCCCAGCAGCAGCAGCTGAGTGGAGGCCCACCAATGGTGATGGTTTACCACAGGCAAAGGGCCCGGTGGGTGCAGCTAGTGCTAGAGCCCTACTCCCTACCCAGCAGGCAGCAGGCCCTGGGCACAGCCCAGCACCACAACCAGGAAAGGCAAACACCACCTCTCAGCTGGGAGCTGCTCTCCTGGGAGAGCCAGGCATTCTTCTGGCTGGGCTGCCTACAGTCAGCCCTCCTCTTCCCGGAGGCCTCCACTGGCCCCTGGCTGGCCCAGCCCACATGACGTCCTGGGAGGCCCTGGCTGCCTCTGCCGTGGCCCAGCACTACTGACCACAGCTGGGCGTTGCAAGCTCACTTCTGCAGTTCCCTGTACTGTCCCCTCTCCTGCTCCTAGACGTGAGCCATGGTGGCAGGGCCTTCTGGCCCACTGTTGAACACACAAGCTCAATCCCACCCTGACAGACGCAGCTGTCTAGAGATGGGGCCAGAGGGAAGGGCCAGTCGGGCGGCCAGGGACCTGCGACACTATGACGAGGTGTGATTCTATACCTTGGCACAGGAGAGCACTGGTCTAACTCCATCGCCACCCTCTCTGCCCTCCCGCCTCTGCCCACTGCAGCCCGTGTGTGCTCTAGCCTGAGGCTGCTGGAGGGGGTCGTGGGACAACCTCACAGGCCTGAGAGCTGGGGATCTGACTCTTGAAAGAACCTTAGCAATCATCCCAACCCCTGAAAAACCTTCCATTAACATAAATAAAACTGCTTCCCGCAGGGCGCTGCACCAGGCTCACCGCAGGTGGGGACGTCCTCCTCGGCTGACGATGTCTGCTCGTCGGTGGATGGCTTCTTCTTGCCCAAACCAATGATCTTGGTAATTTTTTTCCCAGTGACTTTAGACACGGTTCCCTTGGCTTCCGCTTTGGAACTTTTCTTCCTCTTCACTGTCAACAAAAGCTTGTTTTAATTGAGGATGTTAACTTTAAAAAGTAGACATGAAGCCTAAATCACCTCGTGTCTTCTTCCCTCACTTGGGCTCATCAGGCACGCTTAAGTACCTGCTCTGTGTCACCGGGGTCTAGATGCTGTGGCCAAAGCAGGACACAGAGCTGCTCTCCAGAAGCCTGCACCCTAGAGAGGGCTGAGGACACACAGCCACACGTGTGTCCAGCATAAGCAGCACGTCTGCGCACACACAAGTGTCCACATGCACCAAACAGTGGCAGGAACCCCAGGACCCACAGGTCCCACAGGGCCCTGTGGGAGAGTGGCTGGTGGTGGACTTCAGGCCGAGTGCTCAGTAACAAGGAAGGAGTCCTGCCGACTTCAGAGGAAAGGGCTGCCCACAAGAGGAGCAGCTGCTGATGCGGGCTGCGGGCCTGGGGCAGCGGAGCGGAGGGAGCAGGCGAAGCGCGGGTTGCAGGGAGCAGAGGGACCCGGATCCCCCTGGGCACCTCCTGCCCTCTTACTCTGTTCTGCCCTGTCCAGACCCTAGACCGCCGCCTGCCTTTCAGCTGGGATGCTCTATTTCATCAGGTTAATATACAAATTCACAAACATTTAGCATAAAAAGATTTCAAGCTTCTCCTGAAACACAAATACCTGGCAAACCTGGACCCACAGGTGGGAAAGTGTCAGCAGAGCCACACAGACAGGCTCCAGCCAGCTCTGACATGGGCAGCTCTCTCTCCACACTGACCCCCACCACAGAGGGGCAACTGGCCACCGGCTGGTGACCTACCCCTGCTCAGCTCAGTCACCTACACCCCTCTACCCCCAGGCCTTGTCCATGACCTCTAATAGAAATGCAGGGACGGGGGTCAGGCAGCACTCGGAACAGGCATGTGAGGACCCAGGGCTGAGCAACAGTCCTCGGGAAGGGTGGGCTGGCCCAGTCAGTCTCCTAAGGGCACCATGCACCTGCTAGGGCAAAAGGCCTTCCCTGGAGCCACCCTCAGCACAGCCCGACCCCTGTGCTGCAGGGAGGCCAAGCACCCCACCCTGCCCTTGGTCAGCCTCTGGGCAGCCACCCTTCAGGACCTCAGGAAAGCCAACGGCTCCTGCCTCCCCCGAAAGGAGCAAGCACACAGCACCCAGGACAAGGCAGAGAGGAGCCCTCTAGGAGCCTGTGGCTCCCTCCACCCACCTATGCACTGCCCCGGGACCTTTCCATGGGAACGGGCAGTCGTCTGCTGCTCCTCTGCCGCCCGCTGTGAGGTGGTCAGGGCGGGGGGCATCACGCAGGTTCCCACCTCAGGCCTGGCCCTCCCCCGCTCACACCTGCCCTCAGACCCAGTGGGACTGGCACTACTCCTCAGTCCCTCTCCAGGATGGTGACAAGCCATGTGGGTGTGCCACAGTGAGCAGAGCCACTGGGAACCCAGCCTTGCAGGCTGAGTGTGCCCCAGTCACAGGGAGCTCAGACCCCCAGGGGCAGCACGGGGAGATGGGCCTGTAGGGAAGCATCAGGAGAGACCACCCTGATCCCGGAGTGAGATCCTGGTGGTGAGGGCACGGAAGAAGGCCCGTGTGAGGACACAAAGAGAAGGTGGCCACCTGCGACCTGGGAGGAGAGGCTATCATTCCATGTCACTTGGACCAAACAAAAAGGGAAAGCCACCATGGGTGGCCACCCTGCCATCTCATAGCCCTGTAAGTCACTCTGCCATGGCACGGACCCTGCAGGCACATGCTGTCTTACACACCCTGCAGGCCACCCTGGCATCTCACATGCCCTGCAGGCCACACTGCTGTCTCACACACTCCGCAGACAATCCAGCGCCATCACCTACTCCAGCCGAGCTCCACAAAGACATGTGGCCCAGGTCAGCAAAGCACCGAGAAGGCACCCACCCTGTCCCAGGCTCGCAGAGCATGAGTAGGCAACTCTCCCTGGCACAGCGCTCGCTGTCCGTCTCATCAGCCTGGGGTTTCGCAGTCACTCCAATGACACTAATGGGCTCTGCTGGGAAAGAGCTTGCTGGGCTCTGACTACAAAGACCTAAGAAAATAATTAACATCTGTGGTTCCTTCAATACCTACTGCTTAACTTTTGCAAAGACAGAAGTCAGGCCATCCTTGGAAGAAAAGCCAAAGTGTGTAGGGATATGAGAAAAAACTATCAAGAACCTCGTGAGGCCACTTAGCAAACAAAAGGCAGAATTTAGCACAATTACAAACCAGAATTCCCCACTCACTGAAGACGCACAGCGGTGAAGTGCAGGGTCCAGATGGTGTGGAGGTAGGTGGGTGCAAGAGTGACCGAGACAATGGAAGCAAGGTCACTCTGTGCACTTAAACCCACAAAGCCAGGCAGCTCCCCGTCATCCCACAGAAGGGGACCTAGGCGCTCTGCTGTCTAGGCTGGTGGGAGAGGGTGGGACAGTGCCATCGGACTACGGACTCACTGAGTCCACCCCGACCCACGTGCAGAGGGAAAAATCGTAGGGAGGCAGAGTAGGCTGGGGATGTGCTTGCTTCCCTATGCACTGCCCCGGGACCTTTATCTTCCCTGCTCACATCAGCTACGGTGTCAACAGGATGCTGACCCAGTCACCACAAGCCACACACACTGGCGTCTTAAACACCAGGCTCTGCCCTGAAGGAAGAGCTGGAGAGTGAGCCAGGCGCCCCATCCGACCACCAAGTCTGGTGCCACCTTCAGGGTAGATGCTCACACTCAGGCAACTATACAGAGACGTCTGCAAACCACACTTGGCCAGTGAGGGAGGCTCATCTGGAAGCTCCCAATGCAGCCAGGAGTGGAGGGAGGGCAGGGGGGGTGTATTTGGGCCATTAATCCCCTCTAGTGACCGTTTCCTCAGTCACACCCACAGCACCTTGCTGGGCAAAAGGAAGTGTCTGCAGCAGGCGGCTGTCTGAGTCTCAAGGCCAGAAGGGCATGAGAAAGGGACAGGAGGGCAGGAGAAGCCGGTGTTCCCCTGCCCGTGTCAGACAGGTGCGCCATTCCATCCATGTGCCCCTCAGGTGCATCGGGGAAGAAAGAACAGACGGAGAAAGACCAGCCAAGCAGCGTCCACGGAGTGCAACAGCAGGGCAGGGGCCAAGCCCAGTGGTGGGCTGCGGTCCTGGCTGGGCCAGGAGACGGCTGGACGCAGGAGTAGGGAAAAAAGCTAGGCGACATGGTTAGACCAGCCTCAAAACAAAAAGCAAACAAAAACACAGCTAAGCTGGACCACGGAGGCTGCAGGTCATTCGACTTCAGGGAAAACTTCAGACCGCTTTCCAGGTCCTGATCACAGGCAGCACCCATGGAGGACACAGACAACACGCTCACTGAGAAGCTTCACAGAGGGGACCCAGCTGGTAAGCCACCGTGCAAAAGCATACCACGAAAGCTTCTGATGAGAACCTGGTGGCACCAACGTCCTGACGGCAGGGCACCAGGGTCCTCAAGCCCAGCTGCTACAGCTGTGGGCTGGCCTCTCACCAGAGAGGGCACCCTTGCTTCCAACTGGCCACACAAGGCACCTGGGCAGCTGGGTCACAGGCTCTGGGAGAGCAGAGTCACCTGGATTTGTGGAGGGAGGCGTCCCTCCCGACCACAAGTCACGACCCTCACGTCCAGGCATACTCCTAGGACGTTAAAGCCAGTTAAGCAGAAAAGCTGCACAAAACACACACCTGACAAAGGACTTGCATTCAGAACAAGCACAGATCCCTCAAAGCTCAATAAGAGTGAATAACCCAATAAAAACATGGAGAAATGGCTGAGAAGACACCTCACAGAGTCACAGCAACCACCAATAACACAGGAAAACTGCTCGGCCCTCTCCAGTCACTAGGGAAACCACAGTCACACTCCACACAGAGAAGGGACCGGACAGAGCAGAAGGGACAACACTGAGGCTGGCGAGACTCCACGTTGACTGGCAACCCACACTGGGATCAGTGCCCAAGGGGCAAGAGGCACAGATCCACCTGCCTAGTACAGCCAGAGCGGCTCTGCAGTGGCAAGGGGAAGACCCAGCGTGCACAGCCACCCCAAGAAGACCGCCCCCTGCAGCTATCTTCACCACCTCAGCAGGGAAGCAGATGGCACTGGGGTGAGGGACCCAGAAGGGGGTCCACCTGCAGGGCAGGAAGCAGCTCAGCAGTGCCAGGTGGCTCAAAGGCGCGCACAGGACATCTGGAGGAACAGGAGCGTCCTGTCTTGACGGTGGTGATGGTTCCATGCCTGAGAGACGTCTGCCAACACAGAACTGCAGGCCATGGGCAGAGCTGAGCTGGGAGAGAGCGGCGTCCACACCTGCACACTGTTCCCAGAGGCCCTGCTCAGGAGCACCAAGAGCAGGAGCCGGCTGGTGCTCTGACCGTTGGACAAATGTGCAAAATTTGGTGCTTTCCTAGGATGGAATTCACAGTCTTAGAAAGAAAGGACACCGGAAAACAGGTGGAAACATCTTTAACATCATGTTAAAGCCAAACAAGCCCACATCAGACAGCCCACCCCAGACAGCCCAGGGTCACATGCTCCCCTCACGTGGAAGCTGGAGAGGAGAGAGGAAAGGAAAGTGGGGATCTATGAGAATGAAAGGGACCTCAGCAGAGGAGAGCAAGGGGCCAGAGGGAGGCAGAGGAACTCTGGCCAAATTACATCATTCTAACGTGTGCACATGGGGGTGCTCAACACCCGGTCCCCCATAGTGTGTGATGACGATGTGACAAAAGGAAGAAACTTCTGACACAAGCGACACTCTGGGTTGACCACAAAGACACACCCTGAGTGAAACAGCCAGTCACTACAGGACACAGCCCAGGTGACTCCACCCACACGAGGCCCCAGAGCCACAGAACTCAGAGACAGACGCAGCACTGCACGTGCCAGCACTAGGGAGGAAAGCCAGGGTTAACGGGAACAGAGTTCAGTTTGGGAAGATGGAACGGTTCTGGGGACGGATGAAGACAGCTGCCCAGCAGTGAGAATGTGCTTCATGCCATCAACTATGCACACAGATCGTCACACTGGCTGCTCTTAAGGTGTATGTGTTCTACCAGGGTTTTTAAAATGTAAATGCAGGTGAAATAAAGACATTTTCAGAAGAATGCAATGATGGTATTCGCTGGTAAATGGGTGGAAATGGAGAAAATCATGCTAAGTGAAATAAACCAGACTCAGAAAGTCAAGGGTCAAATGTTTCTCTCATATATGGACGATAGAGCAAAATAAGGAAAGGAAAGCAGTTGGGGAGAAATCGGGTATTAAAGATATGGGGTGATGGATGACAGACGTGGAGAATGAGAGGGAAAGGGGCGAATCACGGGCTGACTCTGACAGAACCCTGTCACGGGAGGGTAGGCTGGGTCCCTTGTTTACTGCAGGCCTGGTCTCCGGGCCACTGAGCACCAACAGGATGCTGTCAGCCTGGGGAGTGTGGGTGGCACTGGACCCTCCATCACTCCCAGAACCTGGGGAGCCAGAGGCACAGCAGCTTTCAAATGGGTATCTCAGGTCCTCCTTGTTACCAAGGGGAATCTCTCCTTCACATATACATAGAACATGCCAATCAGAAATAAGGGAGCGAAAGGAGGATCAGCAGAGAGAAAAAAAAGATCTTTTCAGAAAATCTTTTTAAAAAAGACTTCAGATTCTGGCCTCCTCGTCTTAAAGATGGGGAAACTGAAGTTCATGCAGGGAATACTTGCTCCTGATCATATGGCTAAGCAAAAGTAGTGCTGGGGCAGCCACTCGAGGTCCCATTCATTCCCCAAAGGTCTCAAGCAAGATGCCAGCCCCTCCTTGGTACAAATCCGTCTCAGCGATAGATCTAGCAAGGAAGCAGGCTGGCAGGAATCATCAGTTCAAAATACACATGGGCACTATGAACAAGGGCACTGCCCAGGCTGGGGCTGGCAGGATGGGAAGGTGGTCCCTGGCTGAGGTTGACCACAGGGCCCTGCTCCTGTCAGATGACCCATGGCAGGCAGGTGTCTGCAGCTGAAGCCCAGACCACCACATGGTCACTGCATGCCCACCACCCTTGCCTCCCCCAGACTGCACTCGGCCACAGGTGGGGCTTACCTTGCTCTTTTCCGTTGCACGAGGCGATGCCATTCTCCACAGCACCCTCCCCATCTGAGCTGGGTCTCTCTGAAGACAGCTTCTGTAAGGACACAAAGGGTTAGGTTGCTCCTAGAGGCCACACGGCTCTGGCGACGCTGATGGGTTGTCAGAAGCCTCTGGAAGGAAGTCAGATGTGGTGGGATCCACTCTGCACAGAGAGCCGGGGCTTCCCTCCAGCACAGACCTGCTGGTCAGGCAGCTGCAGAAGCTTCAAAATGCAAACAACCAAGAGAACCACTCCGTGGCTCTGGTGTACTGACACACGTGCGTGCCTTGCCCTCCACTCAAATCACTTTTTCTTACAGTCATGAAAAAGTATAAGGATTACTCACTAAGCCATATTTTCTTTGCAGCAGTAAATAATCCCTCATCTATCTTTTCCCTGTCATTTGCCAATAATCGGGTAAATGTCAAGTATTTACTTGTAACAAATGTACTCAGAACAAACCAGAAAGAGAGAAATTACTATCAAAACCTCCCATGGCTGGGGGTGTGGCTCAGCAGTCAAGTGCTTGCCTGGCAAGCTTGGGGCCCTGGGTTCCATCCTCAGCACCAAAATAAAACACGTCCCAGTGGGGCTTGGCTCCTTGTTTACTTCAGGCCTGATCTCCTGACGTAATGAGCATAATCAGGACTCCACAGTGTGGCAGCTGGACCCTTCCGTCCCTCCTCAGAACCTGTGGAGTCAGAGGAGGAATAGCTTCCAAAATGGGTGTCTCCGGTCCTCCACATTAACCCCCAGAGCCACAGAGACTGGCCAGCCAGACACAAAGGAAACCAGCAAGAACTCTGGTAACGAAAGTAGTGGCATGCAGCAGGCTCCTACTGTGCACCCGGCAAGTGCTCCAAGTACCAGAGCCAGCACTGCCCTGCTCTCAGACCTGCAGCTGCCCAGGAACACACCAGCAGCCCAGAGGCCAAGCTAAAAGGCGTGTCACCAGTTCTGATGGGAGTGCACCAGGAGCTGGGAGGCACTGGCGGGAGTGAGACCCATGGCATCTTTGAGAGCGACAGGATTAGCCCTGGGAATCAGACACTTAGCAGAGCTCCCTCCTATGGTCTAATAATTCAGCTCCCGGGAATCTGTGCTCGGGTAACAGGCAGAGAAGCAGCAGAGGTTTATGCAAAAGGTCTTACTACCACGTTATTTAAGCAGTCTAGAAAAAAGAAAAATGGGATAGTTGTGGGGAGAGTGGATTGCACAGCTACCTCAGTGATAAGAAGGTGGCAAAGCGTCACATCCAGCTGATGAAACTGCAGAACCCTGCTGCTTGTTATGAATGTCAAAACCTAGGAGCCGGCCAGCTAGATTCAGGCAGGCGGGAAACAAGGCGTGTAAGAAACCTGACTGCATATGATCATCCGAAGTGTAAAAGAAGCACACATAGGGAAACCTTGCGAATGCCATGGAGGGCATGGAGAGGGGCAGACTTGAGTGACTTTTTCCTGCTATTTATGTTTCCCTGAACTTTCTCAGTATTATTATACAGTAAGAGTTTATAGTCAGGAACAAAGCAACAGGCTGTTCTACTAAAATACCAGGTGGTTAACTGTGTGTCAGGTTGGAAGGGGGGCGTTTCTGGGTGATCCAATCAGTGAACTCGTATAAGCAGGCTGTCCCCCTGATGTGGGTGGACCTCACACATCATGGGAAGGCTGGACAGGATGAAAAGACCAGCCTCCTGCCTGAGCTAGAGGGCCTGCTGCAGCAGAGGCCAGGGGCCAGCCTGCATGTCACTCCTGGGCCTCTGCTGTGGCCAGGATGCACATCAGGACTTGCATCCGCCATAGCTGTGGGAGCCACACCCCTGAACAAACCTCTTTCCACACACACCCCTCAGTTCTGCATCTCTGGAGAATCCTAACACAAGGAGAGAGGAGGATCCGCTCGTCCCCTGGCTGGGGCTTTGGCAGGCAGGCTTGGGACGCTCCTAGGACACAACTGCAAGGGATGACTCCACGGCCAGAGCCAGGAACAGTCACAGTGATGTGCAGACCAAGGACATCAGAGCAGGAACGTGGCACTACAGGGTGCCCCCCCCACCTCTGGCAAGAAGGCGTGCACAGGCAACAGGCTACACGCCGACCGCTACACCCTGCACTCCTCCCAGCAAGAAAACTGGCAGAAGCAGAGGGGCGGTAAGCTCCTTCTGCCTAGGGGTTAGACCCTGGGGAAGGCAGGTTGTGAAGTGCCTGCTGCATGTCACAATAGGCAACAGCTCCGTGGCTCTGCACAAGACCCCCTAAGGTTCCACAGCTCGTCCACAGCAAGGCCCTGGAGCCTTATCCAGAGCAGATTCGGAAAAGGACAGCAAGCAGGACTGCATCTGTTTTCCAACTGCAACCCTGAAATTCTCAGTGTTATTAAAGCTTGCAGGCAATTTGAATGTTCCCAGTATAATAAGATACCAAATGTCTGAGGTGGCAGACATGCCAATTTCCCTGACTCAATGGTTACACACTGTCTACTAGTGTTGAAAGGTCACACAGCATGCACAGACATATACAATTAGTGTGTCTCAATTAAAAATAAAAAGACATTTTAAGAGAACCCAAACACCTGGAGTGACACCCAAATCACTCACGAGTTCCGGTTCCTGGAGAGACGCACCCTTACCTTCTCCAGCTCTGCCTTGGGTACTGGGGCACTGGGCGGTGGAATACACTCGGGATCCGCAGGGCCACCGCAGCCACTGTAGGCTTCCCTGATCACCTGTGGAAAGCAGAGGTTCAGGACGGAGCCCAGACCAGGGTGAACAGACCAAGGCCGACGGTGTGCAGGGAAGCTGGAGGGCCAGGAGCCCCTGGCATTGAACAGACGCAGGTCTGCACGTGTTCACGCCTTGGCTCACCCGGTGGGACTGTCCCGGGTCCCAGGGCAGCAGAGCAGAACAGTGCGCTAGAGTTCCTGCTCTGGGAAGGGCCCTGCACAGTGTAGACTTGGGCATGAACCAGGGTCCCCAGGCAGATGAGGTGGAGTGAGCAGCTTCGAGAGCCACAAGGAATGAAGGACGGAGCTTCCACGGGCAGGTGGGCAGCGACCTCAGCTCAGGCGGCTGCAGTCAAGCTGGAGAAGAGACTGGGCAGTGCCACATGGGCCAGCAGAGAGGGCAGCCCCAAAGGCGCAGAGAGAAGGGGGCTCCAGCAAGAAGGCAAGAGCTGGGCAGACAGCCAGAGCCAGCCGACCCCACGAGAAGGCTCCCTGGGAGGGAGGCGGCGATTATGGGAGGGGCAAGGCTGGAGGAAGCCGATGCACAAAGGAAGGTTTCTCAAAGTGCTCCTTTTCCTACTAAAGGCTTCAGCCCTCTGAACAGAGGGCAGAGTAAAATGCAGAGAGGCTCTTCATGGGGAGGGTCTGAGAACACTGCTGCCTGGCCAGAGACACATGAGGACAGACCCTCAGGAACGAGCTGTGCAGCTATGGAGGAGACAGTTAACTTCTCTGAGCCTCAGTTTCATCATTATGGTGTGGATATGAGGTGTCCCCCCAAAGCTCAGGTGTTAAAGTAGGAATGTTCAGAAGTGAGCCGATTATGAGCACCGTGACCTCATCAGTGAATTAATTCATGTGATGGCTTGATAACTTGAATGCATTACTGGTGGTAACTGGAGGCAGGAGGGGCATGGCTGGAGGAGGCAGGTCACTGGGTGTGGGCCCATGGGGAAAACATCTTGTCCTTCCTCTCTCTCCCCTGCCCTTTCTCCCTCCCTCCCTTCTTCCTGGGTCCCAGGAGCTGAGCCACTTTCCTCCCCTATGCCCTTCCACCAGGATAGTCTGTCACCTCCGGCTTGGGAAATGGAGTTCGCTGACCTGGGACTGAACTTATGCAACTGTGAGCCCAGAGAAACTCTTCCTTTTTAAGTCGCTCTTGTCAGGAGTTTTGGTCACAGTGATGAAAAGCTGACTAACACAAAGGAAGGCGTCAAGGTGACCCGTCTTGCAGGACTACGGCTAAATTAAGAGGAAACGAGACCTTGCACGGTAGATGCCCGAGCCAGCATCTGACCCAAACTCCTTCACCACACAGAGGGCTGTGACCACGGGCACTCGCTACGGTGGGCCTCTCTGCAACTTAGGTGGAGAGTAGGAATCACCAGCCCATGGTCCCCATGCTGGCACAAAGAGCCCTCATGGCCACCTGCTGGCTTCTCCATCACGACTAAGCTCATGCCACGTCCAGGTGTGGCCCGTCACGGGACATGAGGTGAATAAGGAAAAAGAACCACATGCTTGTGTAACTCACGCGCTCTCGTCCCCATAAGTCGGCAGGCAAGTCTTACAGAAGCCACCTGTTCCTCCTGGATCTACACTGCGGCGGGAGCCAAGCCAAGCTGCTTCTGGGCAGAAAGGAACGCCAGCCCCAGAGAGCTGGGCAGTGGCCGGGCACCAGCCTCCGCAGATGCCCTGCAGTCGCACTGGGCTGGACTCGGCCCGGAGCTGACAAGCAGGATGTGTCCCCAGGCACTCTGCTACTCGGATGCCTCATGTGCAGAGCGCAGGGTGACTTGCGTCCACACCCGAGCTGTCTCAAGAGTGGACGGCACAGGGAAGAAGAAAGTGAGGAGGCGGCCAGAGGGCTCGCGGCATCTCTCCTCCCGGTGATTTCTGAGATGCGAGCAGGACCCAGCAGCGCTCCGCCCAGAGCTTCTCCCTGCTCCCCCCTCTTCCACTCTGACCACTCCACGGCGGGTCTTCATGCCCTCCTGCCCACGTGATGACCAAATCCTCAACTGACAAGATACATTTCTACTTGATTTAAAGACAAGACTCTTTTTTCTAGGGAAGCAGCTCCTGAGCTTTTCTGCCAAACAAGAGCTGGTTTACTCCTAGTTCTTCCACCTGCTGTGCACGCAAGGCTGGGCCACTCAATCTGAGCCCCTCTCTCCTAACCTGGAACATGCACAAGATGACACCCAGGCAGTGACAGAGAAAACAGAGTGGTTACAGGATGTGAAGAGCCCTGCCCAGTACCTCTCCCTCACAGGTGCAAAGTGACTTCTGCGCTTTCCCAGTCACAGATCCAAATAAAGGAACCAGGTTTCAACTATGCACATAAACCTGAACCCGACAAATTCTCCTTTTGCACTAAAAAGCAGTACCGCCAAACCAGAACCTGCAAAATCCTACAATCTCTGCAAAAGCTTTTATACCAAGGTCTGTATTCTGTCTCCTCCTAGTTTTCCCACGGGAAAGAACATAGAGCATCTTCAGCAGAGTTGCTCCACTATCCCCTCCGCCACCTCTCCAGGGCCAGGGTCTCCTGGGGGGAGCACACACTTCCTCCCAGTCAAACAGAGCCCATCTCTTATGATTCAGCCTCAGGCTCCCACAACTCCAGGGAGCCTGCCTGGCCTCCTGCCATGGTCTGCACTATTGTCCCTCAAGGCCACATGCTACAGGCTGATCGCCAGGCTCCGGTGCTCCTGGGAGGGTGTAGACCTTTGGGATGCGGGTCCTGTGGAAGTCAGGTCACTGGGGTGTGCCCTTGAAGAGGATGTTGGGACCCTAGTTGCTTCCCAGCTGCCTCACTGTGCGCTCCTACCATGCCGTTCCGCCTCACCAGGCCCAGAGGCAAAGGCAGACCACCAGCCACAAGCACGGGCTGGAGCCTCTGCAACCCGAGCCTAGCACTTTTCCTCCCCTAAGCTGTCTGCGCAGGGATGGAAAGCCCACTACCTCTGCCTCCCTGTGGTCCACGTGGCGTGGCCACCCTCGCACAGCCCCAGAGGGCCAGGACTGCTCTTCCCGGACATGCTCCTGGGCCTGAGTGTCCTCCACACGGCGCTCCCTGACAGAGGCTGGGTCCTCTCAGCTGTGCTCCAGGGCCAGCATGTGACAGCAGCTAAAAGTCTGGTCAAGGGGAAAAATGAGGGAATGAAAAACTGGGTTGAGAATCTCTATGGGGAAAGGAATGAAGGAAGGAAAAGCCAAAGAAACAAGGCTGCCACCAGGCAGGTCGAGCCTGGGACACGGCCTCTGTCCTCTGCACTGAGTTCTGAAAGCTTCACAGGAGAAAACACTGATGTTTTGGGCACAAAAAAGCCACCTGCATACGCGCCCTGCCAGGCTGCCTCCCAGGGAGCTGCTCCCTGGCACAGCCAGCTCTCCCACACCCGGCTGCTGGCGGCAGAAGTGGCCCGGCCACAGAGCCAGTGCCTGCTGACAGCCTTTAAGGAGCCACACAGAGGAGCCAACACAGCGCACGCTGGCCACCGCACTGCCTTGTTGTCCAGCCACTGATTCCTCTCCCAGCCAGAACTGAGATTCCTGGCAGAGGGAGCCATGTCCCCCACAGTGCTTGGGAAGGGGGAGGCACATGGCAGGACAGAGACCCAGACAGCAACTGGGGACATTCCTGCCATCACAAGACCGTCTTCCCCAGAATCAACAAGGATCCTGCCCAGGACTCAGAGGAGGTATGTGGGAAGGCCAGGGAGTCACTTCAATGGAAGAAGTTAGGTCACCTCGTGTCAGTGTCCTGCCCCCTGGCTCTCCATCGAAGGCCAAAGGCACCTTCAGGGTTAGTTCAGAAGAACAAACAGAGGCTCTGTCCCCCTGGGCCTCAGGAGGACTACACACGAGTGTGCTGCACCAACGTAGCTCTATTTAGAGAGCCACATTCTGTAAGGACTTCAACACGTACTGGAGAGAACTGCATCTGAATGCAAAGTCACAACGCTCCAAAAACTAACTGTTATATGTTTTGTGGTATTTTTGTTTGCTTTTAACTTGAACTCTCTTCTCCAGAAACACAATCTCTGCACATTTTTTAAGGAAACCTCACCACTCTGCTTCTGGGAAGATTGGCTCTTGTCTTCTGCTTGACCTCTGCACAACGGTTCCTGCTTGCAGCATCTGCACACACGCTCACACACACATACACACACACACGCACACACTCTCACACACACACTCACAGCATACTCACACACATTCATACACGCACACACTCACACTCATACACTCACGCACACATGCACTCTCATACACACTCACGCATATACTCACATACTCTCATGCACACCCACACTTGCATTCACACACTCACATTCACATGGACACACACACACATTCACACATGCATACACACCATCATGCACACACTCATACACACACACACATGCACACAGTCGCACACACGCACACTCTCTCTCTCTCACACACACACACACACCAGTTGAATCTGGTAGGAGCTGTTGCCGCTGGACGGTGCAGACACAGAACCACTCTGGAAGGAATCCCTCAAGAGCGCAAGGCCAGGCCTCCAAGGCCACCCACCTCCAGCTCTTGGGCTTGACAGAAGCATGTGTGTCTTTGTTAAAGGGTTTTTAATGTTATATTAAAGCTGTTTCAAAACATCTACAGCCTGGGCCACGAGCTAGAACGATGCAGGCAGCAGCAGCTGAGGCTGACTCATGGCCCCCATGGCATGGGGCCTCCTGTTAGCCGGGTAGAGTCCCATGGAGACCTGGCAGGGTGCAAGGAACAATATCATGTTTTCATGCTCTAGCTGTCTATTACACTTCGAGAGTGAATTTAAGTCATTTTCTCCCTCTTCCTCCTTAACAATTCCTGTGACATCACTTCCACTTGTAGCACAGTGGGCAAGTCTGGGCCAGAGAGGTGTGTGCTGGGCCAGTGTGGAGGCTTCTCTGTGAAGAGCACAGGACCTGGGACCCACACAGCGATGCCCGCGGGAACCTGTGTGATCCTTGAGGATTCCGCAAAGCCACGTGGAAAACTCATCTCGATCATGTTCGTCTACTGCTGCCTGAACCAGGAGGGGCATTTCCGTCCCCTCACATGCATCAAGAATCCCTGCAGGGACCCAGAAAAAACCAAGGTGACTCTCTGTGGCTGGCAGAAGCATAACTGCACAAACGACACAGCAACCTGGCAGAATCCATGATGTCAGAGGTGGGCACGTCCTATGCCCAGAGATGCCCTGTGAGGGTCCCATCTAAGGAAACTGAGGCATAAAGCCAGAGGACACACTCTACAGAGCTCATGGCACGTAGATGCCCAAAGAGGTCCCACTCACGAGGATGGCTGAGAAAATTCTGAGTGGCAAGAGCTCTGGAGGACAGTGGGGTGTGAAGCCACTTATGTGAAAGTCTGAAACATGAGCAATCATGTCATCTATGGTCATGGTTCAGGCATGCCAAGGGACAGCATGGTTTGGAAGCATACGCAGTTATCACCAGACTCAGGACACAAGTTCCCTCAGAGGAGGGAGGGAGGGAGGGAGAGATCAATTCTACCTGTAGCGTTCTTGACCCGCAAACAATATAAATGATAGGGGACAAGACTTCTGGGAGGTGGTGCCTCATAGATAACCTCAGTGCCCGGATAAAAGAGGCTCCAAGAGTGGCCTTTGCCCTTGCTACCATGTGAAGGCACAGTGAGAAGACAGCTCTCCACTGCAGAGCAGCCATCTCCAGACGCCAAATCTGTGGCACCTTGGTCTTGGACTCCCAGCTCCAGCAGCTGAGGGAACGCTGAGGGAAAGAAGACACCACACACTGTCCGCTGGCTTGTTTCTGTTGTTTATAACCCACCCAGCCTACGTTACTTCATTAAAGTGGCCTGCCATATTCAAAATTAGAAACACAGTGAACAAAACAAATTTAACAGCAGATTAGAAACTGTCAGAGAGAAACAGTGAACTGGAAGGTAGCAAGGAAAACAAGCCAGACTGAAGAAGAAGAAAAGAGGACAGTGAATACAAAGAAGGGATAAGAAGTAAACTTGAGACGGTGGGACAAAATCAAACACAGTGTCAAGGAAGTGGGGATGGGGTAAAGCTGTCTTTTAGGAAAAGGTCTGAACAATTTTTCCCAAAAGATGACAAACAATCTACCAATTTAAGAAGCCCAGCATGTATCAAGCAGAATAAACAAAAAGGGACCCATATCCAGACACAATGAAGTGAAACTATAGAAAATAAAAATAAAAGAGAACTCCCCAGAGCAATCTGCAAATGGGGACAGATGGCCTCCTTGAGATGGGAGCCACATGAAGAGGGACTCTGATCGTATAGCGTACCCAGCTGTCAAGGACACAACTATTCAGCTTCATCTATTTTTAGCTTGAAAAAAAACTAATCAAAATAAAAGAGGACCTAGGAAGAGGGTGGGAAGTGGAATGGCTCCGAGTCACCAGGCGGCCCACCTTCAGCCACTGCTCGGCTTGCTCCTTGCTCTGGACTGCGAGGACAAGGGGGTCGGTGCCTTGCTGGGTGATTTTCAGCTCATGCTTCTTCTTCTTGCTGTCTTTCGGGATGTAGGTGATGTTGCAGCCTTGGAGAGGCAGTTCCATCTGAGGCTGCTGGTCCTTGGAACTCTTATAGCACTGCATTCAACACAACAAACCAATGTATATGGTAAGGAGGCTTGAAGAGAAACACTGATAAAACCCAGCATAATAAAACCTCGAGCACAGGCAAGCTTCAGGGGGTCTGACCCCAAAGTGGAGACGCTCAGCAGCTGCAGACCAGCAGGTGTCAAACCCATGCACCACTTCACACCAGCTGGCGCATGTGCCTGTTAATTCAGCAAAGGTTTACTAAGCATCCGCTTCAGTAGGAAATAAAATGTTCCTAGCAGGATGGAGCCTATGTTCTAGTGGACTTTCTTCACTAAGTGGATATACTTATATAAAAACACTTACATTTACATGAAGAATAAAGTGGAAAGTGCACTACCAGATGTGGTGCAACAGCAAAGCCCTAGCATGGAGCCACAGTCTAATAACGTGACACCTGTGGCCTGTGCTTCTTGGCCATGGCCCTCCCTTTCTGAAAGGCAGGCGAGTCACTTTAGTAAAGGTATCAACATGTGTGCCCGGAGGACAGCTATGCCTTGAGTTCGCCCCTCTAGTGTGTGAGAGCAGCCAAAATGCAGGCTGCTCCACCTACATCACAAAGTTCACGAGGTCCACTGAGTCCCTCACAACTGAGACAGGTTCCCGTCGCTCTTGCTTACTCTCCATCTGTAACAGAACCAACTCTGCCGCAGCCCCTGCCTGTCCTCTCTGTTTAACTGTAGCACTTAGAGCCCAAGCATTACTCTTAATGGGGATACACAGCCCCAGAGGCCAGATATCTGGGTCCTAGCTCTGTTAATATGTAATCTGGTCCCATGTCCGTGTGGTAAGGCATGTTCACTGTTGGCGTTATTGTTAAAGCCCACTATCAGCAGCACTCCGCCTGCTACCAGGCACTGGGTGCTCACATTACAAGAGCCACTTTATACATGTCTCACAGCTGTCTGTGCTGCAGATTAGGAAACTGAGGCTCCACTGGGTAAGTGACTTGCCCATACAGGACAACTGAAGAGTGCAGACAGGACTCCAGCCCACAGGGAGAAGGGCAGGGCCTGCACTCTTAATGGGGACACAGCATTGTTGGTGAGGAATCAAGGAACAGGCACCAACTTTCAGAGCAGTTTCTAGAGTCCTTCCCTGGTTCACAGTGTTAAACCCACGACTCTGGGGTAAGGAGAGATCCACTTAAAAAACTTCCAACTGATGGCAGCCTGCCTAAGATGGGAAAAGGAAACTCTCCAGAACGGCCCACCTCAGGCTGCTATGAGTGCCATTTAGCAGAATTTTGCACTTGAATAAATGTAAAAAAAGATGGGAAAGGAAAGTAACAGCCTGTGGAGGAATGAGGGGTTTACAGTTTGCATTTTTCTGTAAGCTAATGCCACGCAGTGAGTAAGTCATCAGCAACATGACAAAGGCAGCCTAGTGACTGGCAGAGTGGCCCAGGGAGACTGCCTCTGGAACAGGACACTACCAAGGTGGCCCCTAAGAGCAACTTGGCCGGGGCCAAGGGTGGAGCAGGACCTGGCAGGGAGGCCATGCAGTTCAAATTCGAGGCCTCAGGGACCCGTGGGAGGCGGGAACTGCAAGGCCCTGCTGCAGTTGCCCCAGGGCTAGTCTGCACAGGGCCCTGCGCACAGATCCCAGGGAGGAAGCTTGACCTCGGGCTAGAGGACCCCTTCTAAGAGGGCTCAGTGACCCTCCCAGCAGGCCAGGAAACAAGTGTTCAGTTCTGAAGGGGGACTGGGCGCTCCACAGTGCTACCCCAGAGCCACCTGGGCGGAAGACCTTACTGTTCCAGAGGAAGATTCAACAGAGTGTTAATGGTATGTGTGTGGGAGGACGGCGAGGGTGCAGGGAGGCGCTCATTTCTGTTTACAGCCTTCAGGACAGGCGAAGTTTGGAAGTCACTTGCTTCTATCCTTGTAGCTTTTTAATGTCAATTAGGTCATCCAAGTAGCTGGATCATAGGTTATTTCCGAATGGAAAAAGTTTCCTAATAAAAATAACTAATTCTGATCTTGCATTTTATCAAAGACCATGCTGGTTCTCCATTAATTTCTTCTTTAACATTTATAACTAAGCTCTAGTACTGCAAGTATCATCCTGGCATGGAGAGGGAAACTTGCAGGAGACCAAATGGCAGAGAAAGGAGAGGAGGAGGACAAGGGAGAGGTGACAGAGGGGACCAGGGCCCTAAACTGCTAACCCACAGGTGGCCATGAGGCTCTGCACCGTGCCCACACTCCCCTGTGGGGTGAGCACTGACTGTGTCTGTGTGACACTCACACCCTGCAGCCTCTGGCCCGGAGCATAAGCAGGGAGGTGCTATTCCTACTTCTTCCGTGCTCTGGAATTCCCAAGGGCGGCATTTTTGGCACGTCTAAATTTGGGAGAAATTCAGGCCACACATGTGGAAAAATATGTGCTCTCAGTGTTTAAAAAATAAACAAAAATAAACATAGTCCTAGGAATCTAAGACTCTCACAATTCACAGATAAAATTGGGTTAAAAAAAAGGATCATCTGTTCCATTAAACATGAAACAAAGATTTCCAGGTTTTCTATTTTAATGACACACCTCTGAGTGGTAATTTTCCCCAAGTTTAATTTTAAAGAAAAACCAAAGGTAAAAACATACCCTATAGTTCATAACTCTAATAAGCAACCTTGGATTCTACAGGGAGGGAGAGGGGAGGGAGGGAGAGAAGGAGAAGCCAGGAGCAGGGAGGGGTGGAGGAAACACCCCAGGCAGGCTGGGGGCCCCACTTCCTCACAGAACCCCCAGGGAGAACACCCAGGCATGGGGGCTGTGCTTCCCACCCTGCGTCTGCTGCTCCAGTTAAAAAAAAAAAAAAAAAAAAAAAAAAAACTTGGCACTAAGCTTTCCAGAAGAATTTCCTTTTCTGCACACCCCGCAAGCCTTGAACCGCCTCCCCACCCCACTGCCATGACCTGGCTTTGAGGAATCCACTGACTCACTACAAATGAGAAAACCCATCTTGCAACCCCTGGCAAGTTTGTAACTGTGCCTTTCCACTGACACAAACCGCAGGCACAGCCCAGTGACAGGAGGGGCAGCCCTGGGGACGGTAACTGGGACTAGCTCCCCAGCTCCTCCTGGCGGGTACTGGCCCAGGCTCCCGGGGAGCGCCTCCCTCCCACGGCTGGTGTCACAGTGCCCTGGGCCTCTGTGCCCTCTGGCTCCAAGGGCCGCTGACTGGAGCACCTCACCAGCAGCTTGGCGTCCTTGATGACACAGAGCAACTTGGTCCACTGGCCGAAGCGCTTCTTGCGCAGCAGGAAGGCACAGATCTTGGCATCCTTCACCAGGTCCATGGACGCCTCCTCTGAGGGCCACTGGTGCCGGGTCTTCTTCCCCTTCCCCTCCTCCTCCTCTTCATCATAGGACTCGTAGGAGCTGCTCATTGCATCCGAGTCATAATCTGCAGAGACAGAGGAGCACAGTGAGAGAACCCGACCCTGGAGTGCTCTCTCCTCGGGCTCAGAGCACATCCTGTTACTTCTAACAGCCAAGGAATTCATGAGAAAAGAGCTTTTGCCTCTGAAGAAAAAAGATGACTCTCCAGAGTCCAGGAGAGACGCTCAACCCAAGGTTTCAAACTGAAGTGTTCCAACTTCTCTCTCTCAAACCACCTGTCCACCATTCCTGTGGCCCAGAGCTGCCTGGCGAGATCAGCCTCCCCTGCACTCTGGCTCACAGGGCCTTGGCTCCCGAGCCCACTCCTGGTTGGTAAAGCCTCAGTCTACACCACCTTCTTGCCACTGGCCTCCTCTCATGCACAGAGCCTTCTGGACTTCAGGGACCAACTAAAGGCCTCCTCTCCCCGGAGTCACCCTTGGAACTGCACAGGAATTTCCCCCACCCTTCCAATGGAGTCCCCTCATTCTGAAACACACTAACACAGACCAGGTTGTTTTGAGTTTCCCAAAGACATCATGCTGTCCCTTACCCGAGACCTCTGCACAGGCACAGCCTGCTGTGCTTCCACGCACCCTGGGGCCTTGACCTGGGTGAGGGTGCGCACCTTCAGCACTTGACTTACAGACACTTCCTCCTGCAGGCCCTCCCCAAGTACCAAAGCTGAGAGCCAGGCACCAGCCTGTAACCCCCAGTATCTAGGTGCTGAAGTTTTAATTCCCACGTCACTGAATTTAGAGACAGAACTTTTAGGTACAATTAATGTTAAATGAGGTCATAGGGCAGGATCCTACTCCAACAGCTGGCCTCACAAGAGGAGGAGAGAGATCCCAGTGCCTCCGCACCACGCCCTTGTGTAAAGGAGTAAGAAGGCAGCACCCAGGCTGGGGTTGTGGCTCAGTGGTAGAACCTTCGCCTAGCATGCACGAGGTACTGGATTTGATCCTCAGCACCACATAAATGTAAAATAAAGATATTGTGTCCACCAAAAACTAAAAAATAAATTTAAAAAAGAAGGCAGCACCCACAAGCCAGGCACAGTCCCTCACAAGAACCCACCAGGCTAGCACCCCAATCTTAGCAATTCCAGCCTCCAGAGCTGGGGAAGTAAAGCCTGTGGTCTAAGAGCCCCTGCAGCCCAGTAGATGGCATTCTGTTCCACACACACTGGGCCAAACGCTCCCAGTTCCATGCATCCTCATGCAGCCATGCTGGGTGGTCAGCGGCTCGAGACAATGCCGATTCACTTCTGATGAACCCTAACCCTGGGATCACCAGGGACACATTCACTGTTCCAACATAGTTGAAGAAGGATGCCTGACGCAGCAGGACTGACAGATGAGGAGGAGCAGTGGCAGTGCCGTGGGCCACATGACATAACACAGGCTGTCATGCCCATGACGATGCCAGACAGGGCCACTCCAGGAGAACTGGGCTGCACGAAATAGTGATACTGACAGAGAAATGCCTTTTTCTTTGGGTCCTGTGACAGCTCTTCTGACCCAGCTCCCCCAAGGAGACAAGGCAGGCAGGAAAGAAGAAGAGCAGCCTCGAACTAAGTTTTATTGGGGAGAAGCAATCCAAACGAGGCAAGGGGTCAGGTTTCGGGGGTAACTCTAGCTTCCTGATGTCTGCTGTCAGCAGGTTGATTGACATCTAGGAAGGCCATGCCTCTCTCATGTGCTATGTGATGATAAAGGCAGAGCCACGAAAGGGACACAACGTGCACAGCCCAGACAGGGGCATCTTCAGTCCAGTCTGCTCTGCGCTCAAGGTGCTCACAGCTCACACAGCCCAAGGCTGGCTTGCCACGTCTCCACATTCCTGTGCTCAAAGCTAGGGGGCGCTCAGCTCCTATGTGGCAGCTCCCGACCACAGACCCTCCACACGCACGCCTGTCACTACAACAGGGAAGTGCACCCAGTGGTGACGTTCACAATTCAGTGTTCTGGCAAAGAATCAATACTTGGGACAAACAGATGAACGATCGAAGGTGAACTTTCAGTGGTGAAAAGAAGCCAAGGAGGATTTGAGGCAAGAACCAGACCGACAGCGTAACCCTGGCAACAGCCCTGAATGGGCAGGGCCCAGGGGAGGCACCTGCCATTCTGTCCAGGTCCATGCACAGAGCCTGTGGGCGACACGCTGAGGAAACAGGCCGAGGGCTTGGTAATCATGTGGAAGATGGAGAGCGGTAGAGTGGCGGCCCTCGGGCGCTGCTTCCTGTCAATCCTCCCACAGGCAGCAGGAAGGATTGAGAACTCTCCACCCCTGCCACCACAGGGCCTGCCATCGGCCCCTGTCACACGGCAGCACAGGGACCACCAACCTTGCATCTTAGGTAAAGTCAGCTCCCCTAGGCCCGCCACACTCCGAGTCTCAGCAGCCGTTGGCTGTCGGCTGCTCTGTGCCCACCACTGCTGCAGATCACCACCAGAACGCCTGGCAGGCTGCAAGGGACAGACGCTGACGACCTAGCGTGACCCACATTATCACAGGCAGGGACTGAGAGCCACAAGTGCAGGACCCAGGAAGAGAGAGCTTCTCATCCAGACCCTGGACGAGAGGGGGCCAACAGGACGGAAGCCGAAGGAGGAGGTCTCAAGCGAGCCTGAGAAGAGGGCATGGGCCAAGCCACTCTCGACAGCCTCCAGGGCAGCAAGAGGCCTGTGCTCCTGTGCCACCACCGGAAGAGACCACGGTGGGCAGGCTTCAGGGTGGCGGATTCCACCCTGACCTGGGCAACTGTTCACCTTGTGGGAATCACTGGCGATATATTCAAATCTTATGCCTTTTTGATAAATACATTGTATTTTTTAAATACCCATCAGTGAAGGGAAGTGACAGGGCATGAAACCGAGGATGGGTCAGGGGCAGGCAGAGCTCCCGTGCCCTGCTGCGGTCCAGCCAGATCAGGACTGCCGTGGACGCCATCATGTTTAGTTTGGAAAACCAAGAATCCCTCAGATCTCAGCTTATTTTCCTGGACCATCATGTTCAATAAATACTTACTGAACAAATGAAGAGAAGAGCTAGTGAAGTGTGAATACGGAAAGGAAAAAAAAAAAGAACTAGTGAACAATTTCGCCACACGAGGGGACAACCATGACGCGTTCCCTCGGAGATCATGTGCAGCATTTTCTTGTGTTCCCGCTGACATGCAGAAGCTGAGGCAGAGTGGGGAAGGGACAGGGTCTCTTCTAGATTACAAAGGCCCTCACTGGTGCTCTCAGCTGCAGGAGGTGAGGCCAGTTGGGTCTCACTTGGAAAAAAAGAAAAAGGACACCCAAAGGTTACTAATCTGTCCCAAGCCACACCCCTAAAGGGTGGCAGCTGAAATAGGAAGCAGACCTCCCGGTTTTGAAGTAAAAGGTAAACCATGTCCCCAGGAGCCTGCCTCATCTCTGGGAATGCGCTGAGGCTGACAGTTAGAGAAAGACAGTAAGTTCACTGTCCTGCTTCTGAGAGCAGAACTGAGTCATTTCTAGAAAAACTCAGCCAAGCCAGCAGGAAACAAAGAGAGAAGCAGTAACAGAGCCTCAGGGAGGGCCGGTTCCAGCGGACATCCCAGCCATTGCCCAGTGGCGAGAAAGTTGGCCCTAACTCCTCACCCAGGGCTGCTGGTGTCCAGCACTCAGACAGTGCCTTGGATCCCAGGAGCCAGCTGTGGTTGGCTGGGGCTCTATACCACACAGCCAGGTCAGGGACACTCTGTGACCAGTTAAGGAAGACCCGACTGGGGGAAAAATCACTGATGCCCTCTGTTATGGTCACGCAGGGCTCAGATACTCCACAGAAACGTGGCAGGAAGGGCCACTTTTGGAGGCCACGTGGGACAGCCCTGACAGTCTACATGGATGTTTAGCCTTCATAAGGGATGCTCCAATAAGCTGTTCTCTTTGAAGATAAAATACTCAACCTAGAAGAAGTATCAGGAAAGTCATGGCAATGTGCACATCTGGCACACCCGGCCATCAGAGACCGGGAACCTGCCTGCTGCAGTAGCCTGGCACCATGGCTGTCCACGGCCATCGCTCCCTCACTGGGATCACCCAAGCACTCACCCTCAACCCTCCATCAGAGCCGCACAAACTACAGACAAGGGGCAAGTGTGGAGCAAGAGCCGCACAAACTACAGACAAGGGGCAAGTGTGGAGCAAGTACCAGCATCCTCTCCTCTGTGTCCCCCCCCCAAGGAAGCAGGACAGGGGCAGCTCACCATGACACTCTGGCTTTGATAGCTGAGAGGAGAGAGCTGCCAGGCCTCTCTTGGTTCCTGGCCGTGCTTTATGAAGAGAAGGCAGAGGACGGCTCCCAAGCAGTAGCACATGGCTGTGTTCTGATGAGTGTCCCCCAAGGCCCATGTATTCAAGGTCGGTCCCCAGGGTGGCATGTCAGGTGGGGCCTGATGGGAGAGCTTTAGGTCATGTGACCTGGAGGGGGGCTAGGAACCCTACCTCTCTCAGGTCTGTGTCCCAGCCATGCCCATGCATGCCCGCCATAATGTGCCACCCTTGCCACAGGCCAAAGCAGTAGGGCCACTTGCAGTGGAACTGGAGCCTCCAGACTGTGAGCCCAAACAGCCCCGTCCTCTCTCTGTCAACTGCCTCAGGAGCCCCATTACAGCGACGGGAAGCTAACTGATAGGGCTGTGCTTCTCTTCATTTCAGGAGTTCTGAGCACAGCAGGAGGCATTTCACACACACATAAAAGACAGAATGGAAGGGCTTGGGGCTGGGGCTCAGCAGTAGAACGTGCATCTAGCACATGTGAGGCCCTGGGTTCAATCCTCAGCGCCACATAAAAATAAATAAAATAAAGGTATTATATCCAATTACAACTAAAAAATAAATATTAAAAAAATGAAATAGAAGTTCAGCCTGGAAAACCAAGAGGACGACACCCAGGAGCTCCCAGAGCTGCCACTGGCAAGTGTGAGCACTCACACGCCGACCTGATACACAGGAAGCTCTTCACCTGCGTTGGTCTTAAATTCTAGTGGGGAAGAAACAGACAGTAAACAGTGGGCTCCAGAGGACGGGATGTGTCCAGACAGAGGCCATCAGAAACACACTGGTGTCTGGAGCTGCTCTCCTAGGCTTCAGCAGCAGCTCGTGGTAACAATGACCACACTGGACGCCACAAAGGGTCTCCCCGTACCATCTGCCTGCTCTACACACAGCCCTGCAGAGGGCCAGACTGAGGCAGAAAAACAGGGCAGGGGCACCGCTGGGGGCAGAAGCGGTGCTAGGTGGGGTGGGTGGCAGCTGCAGACCACGGGAGCTACATGAAGACTGTGGCTTTCACCCCTGAGTGGGCTTGGAGGCTCTGAATGAAGAGGTGACCTGCTCAGGCTCTGAGATGCCCAGTCCGGCAAAGCCAGCCTGGCTATAGTTAGAAATGTATGGCATATAGTTGGTCTATATACATATGGTATATGTATGGCCCACAGTCAGGATATGTGGCATGTGGCCCACAGTCAGGGATATGTGGCATATGGGCTATAGTTAGGAATACTCTAACTCGCTCAGCTTCCTGGAGACTCAATGTATTTGAAATCATCTTGTCGTTCTCGCAGCTACTCTGAGGATCAGATAAAGGACACAGGAAAGCCCCATGTGACCCTGAACACCCAAGGGTAGGTGTACTGCACCTGTCACACTATGGCTCACGGCAGGTCTATAAGGCCAAGATGATCCCCAAACATGAGCTGTATCAATGAACTGGGTGCACATGTGCCCGTACCCCCTGAAATCAGGAATGACATTCTAAACTGTGCTCCTTGACAAGAGAGAGGGACGAGGGCAAGAGGAGAGGGGAAATAGAAAACTAAAAATGAAAATGAAATCTGAATCTGCAGCCAAACATAAGAGCATAGCAGGTCTGTACTGAGTACAGAAGTCATGTCTCTTCTTGACTGCCCTGACGGTCCAGGCTAGCTCTGGCCAGGAGAGAAACCTGCAAGGGTTCTGGCAGAAGGGAAGGAACCCTGGGAGACAGGCACCAGCTACCCAATCCCGGGGAGGCCTGGCCCGGAGGCACTTGCTCTTGTAGGCAGCCCTTGCCCTCACGGCCACTGTGGCCTTGGTCTCCAGTGACCTCAGGAGGAACCAACCGTCAGTCTACATTTTCAGGGGGAGGAGGTGCACAGGCTGAAGGAAAAGGGGGACCTTTCAACATACTAGATTTCTCAATCTTCAGACTTTCAACTTCACTGGGCCTCGTAGCCAACTTACATTTCCCAACTGGAGCATGTGTTCGAGTGGGGCTAGACAGCAGCGGGGTTCAGAGGCAGGACCCCAGGGAATTTGGTGTCACCTTCCAACATCATGTTGGATTCTGCTTTGCTGAGGTAGCCACATGCTGCCAAGGAAGGGAAAGACTCCAAACACAATGTCTCTGTGGAGCAGAGACTTCAGGTAATGCCACGTACACTCTGGCTGAGGGCTCGTCTCCTGAGGAGCACAGCCACGGGGAGACGGCTGAAGGGAGGACCGTGCACTGGAGAGCTGTGTGTGAAGTCAGTGAGCACACTCACTCCTCACAGACCCATCTTTCATAAAAAAGCAAGGGCCTTCCCCAAGGACATATGCTCACACATTCGACTTCTTGAGACAACAGCACTCTGCCTGACAGACTGAGAGAAGAAATAACATCAATAATTCAAAAAGAAGTTCCAGAGATAGTGAGAGAAGGGTTTTCAGCAGTAGCATGTTACTGTCTGTATTGGAAAGCTGGGTGCTGACAAAGGTGTGCTCCCATGGATCCTCAGCAGGCCCCTACTGGGCCAGGAGAACTATGACTTTGTCAAAAAATCCCCAATAAAACCTGCATGCCCCCAGAAGGAACAAACAAGTAAAGAGAAGTCTGCCCCCTGGGGGTCTTCGTTCCATGCCCCTGACTCAAGCCAATGCTCGGCGTGGGAGGGACACCATGCCCCACCTAGGAACAGGGCGGGTCGCAGCGCTTCCCTTCCCACAGAGGGATGCACTTCATCGCTGCCTATCTCCCGGCCAGAGGCTCCGCTGACTCTGAGTCACCAGGAAGGTGGTGGTCAGATGAAGGCGCTGGCAGGCACCTTGGCCTTTCCAAAGCCCTCTGTCCTTAGGTTCCAGATTCCCTTGGCCAACACTTACCGTGTTATAGTCCCCAGTCCCCCTGCATGCCCAGCAAGGCCCCTGGGCTCTGCAACAATCCCGCAAACCACTGGCCCACTCACTTGATGTGATGTATTCCGGAGCTTTCCCAGGACTCAACGGCACGGCCTCCTCATAGTAACCTTCCGGGAGAGAGGATGTCGGCAAAGGTGGAGGCCCGCTGTCAGGAGGCTGAGGGGAAAAAGAACACCGTGCTCACATTAGCATGACCACTGGAAGGAAACGGCACATTAGCAGGTGTGGACTAGCATTTCCTGCTTTCCTTTACCAAGTTTTATTATACTTAAAGCTTCATCCGAGGGTTTCATAAACTGACTTCCACACCACTCACATATAATTGAATCAAGCCTTTATTGAAGCACACCGGTGGTGGCTGACCAGAACATAAAGGTGTCCCCCTGATCAGCCCCGAACAATTGCAAGGGCACTCCTTATAAGCCTGAAAACCACAAAAGGGATGTTCAGGGGTCTAGCCAATGCAAGCAAGCCAGGTTACAGAAACAGGACAGTGCAGTCAGGAGGAGGGAAGCCTAACCAATCACAGTTAGCCCAGTCACCCCAGTTACAGAAACAGAGCCCCGATACCTTAGTTACAGAAACAATACCCCATTAGGTAGTTCCGTGTTCTTAAAGGTTTCTATAGCAAAAGGAAAAGAACATCTTGCTCCAGTCATGACTCTTCTACGTGGCATGGTTGTTTTACAGGATGAAGTCATAAAACAAAATGGAGTCACATTTGCTCCTACTATCACAGTTTATGCCAAAAAAGACCCATCCTACAAAGAGGCCGGGAAGGTCAGCTCCTGATAGACTCCCACCATGCTCCTGTTCACATCCAACTTCCAGGCGTACCCTGCATGTGCCACTCAGGCCCCAACAGGCCAGAGTTCCACACAGGTACAGCACCATCCTGCCTGAGGGTCATCTGCACATTCCGCATCCCAGGCATTGAAGCAGGGCTGCCCCACACCTGCCCTTCTGGCACCTCCCCAGCTGAGACAGGGTGTGCACCCCCTCTATCCTGGCGGTTCCCACCATCCCCCCCTTGAGCTGAGCTCTCCTCATGGCCAGGTCACTTAGGCGAGCTCCTGGAGCAGAGGCGCCAGAACCACATAGCTGGACCAGGAAGGGCTGTCCACACCTCATGGCACTCCTGAAACCCAGGGCGCCAACTACCTTGGAGCCACCCAGAGAAACTGGAGATTGAGTTCTGGAAAGTGCCTGTGCTGACCTGAGCCCGCCCCTTCACGACAGGGTCCTGACCATGGTGTTGAGGCCCCCTCTGGCCTGGAGGCTGTCATTTTTGCATACAGGAGTTGGGAGTTTCACCCTCAGCACCACCCAGGTCTCACATCCCCCTTCTCTTCCTGGACTTTGCGATGACTCTAGTCCACACACCACTTCCTCCTCTGGATATCGCCAGGAGCCCCAAGGTCCTTCCGCCGAGAGAAGAGGTGGAGGGCAGGAGATGGGAGCCCTGAGCTCTGCTCACAGGCTACACTGGCCAATACAGACAGGAGCCTGCCAGCCCTGTGTCGTGACATGGCACAGATGCATACTCGGAGGCCCAGAACCAACACATCCTGCTCAGAGCTGCCCGAGATGACCGAGCGGGCTCTGCAGACACCACTGTGTGCACTCAAGACCTCCCACACCTCCGCCCTCAGTGGTGCGACACTATTCCACATCATCCGCATTCTCCAAATAAATGGGGAAGGAGCATGTCATGGAGCACGGAACCGCACAGCACCCCAAACTGAAGATCTACCAATTTTCAAGTAGCACATGTTCCAGTGAAAACACACAGTTTCCGTTTTTTATTCTTATGTAAACTCTCTACAATGCAAGTCCATCACTTTCCTCTGGACTTGAGTCCAGAAGTCCTCTGTGAATGACTGAGCAGCTGCTGCATGTCCCCATCGCCAGCTGAAGGAGGAGTGCCCACACCAGACCATGGACCCCGCTCCTTCAGACCCTTGAAGATAGCTGCTCCCTTTCACCCGTCCTTGTTCCCAGACTGAACAGCGACGACCCCTAGCGCTCTATCAGAAGCTGTGTCCCAGCCATCCTCCTCCTCCCATCCTGCCCAAACCCAGGGCCTTCACATCCTCCTGCACAGGCCACTGGGCACCAGGGTTAAGGCCAGGGTGGGAGGCCAGGCCAGAGTGAGATCCGCGTGCTGCAGGACTTCACTCAGGGAGCGTCTTTTGTCTGTGAAGGCAGGGTGCTCCAACTTCCTGGAGGATGGTGAGAGCCTCAGGTCCCTCAGTAGCCCTCAGGCAGGGGCAGCATCGTGGGTGCTGAGACAGACAGGCTTCTTACCTACAAAGGTCCAACTCTTCCTCAGAGCTGCAAGGCCAAGGTGAGGAAGGCCCAGACTCTCTTAATGAAGGGGATTCCCACACAGATACTGTGAGATATGGAAAATGGAAAGCCCAAAATAGTGTGGCCTGGGAAACGGAGTGAAAAAGAAAGCCCCACATGGATCGTTTTCATCCCTTCCAAGACCAGTCCTCCCCAGGTGCTGGCCACAGGTGGGGAGAGGGTGTTCCACCTGACCTGGAGTAACAGGCTCTGGGAGGCACTCATCTCTTCCAAGACAAATCCTCTCCAGATGCTGGCCACAGACCCCCCAACCCCAAAAACCCAAATTCCTGAGTGACCACTCGCTAAATCACTTCTCAGTATAACATATGTAAGTCCACACTTTCCTCCAGGAAAAGTAGGTCCCTCAGAAATGCATCACCCTGTTCCTGAATGAAACTCCATTCCTGAATAGAGAGCTGGGCTGACAGTGAAGTCTGCGTCCAGCCCCGGCCCTTTGTGCTAACATAGTGCCATCCTCTAGACCCAATAATTCCACCACTAAAAACATATTGGTCATGTGAGGCAAAAAGTTGTAAGAAAGTCCAATAAAAGTTTTTTGTCAAGATCCAAGAGCAATCTATTTTTTTTTGGAATTTTTAATATTTATTTATTTTTTAGTTATTGGCGGATACGTCATCTTTTGTTGGTATGTGGTGCTGAGGATCGAACCCGGGCCACACGCATGCCAGGCGAGCGCACTACCGCTTGAGCCACATCCCCAGCCCCGAGATCCAAGAGCAATCTAAACGTGCACCCAAAGGAGAGCACCAAGCTGGGTGGCCTCGCTCACCGCAGGTGTGCAGGGGCCAGGCAGCCCACAGCGCTCACCCGAACACTTCTCGGACACTGCAGAACAAAAACTCGACTCTTCTCGGCCCTTCCCTTGTGTGTTTCTGCTCATGTAGTACAAAGACAGAAGGCCACTCACCAAAAATGTTAACCAGCAGTGGCTCTTCGCTATGTGTGTCTGAACAGCTTGGTTTCCAACACACCATATGTTACCTTTAAATTCATTTAAAATATCAAACTATTCTCACTATGAAATAATACCCTTCAAATGACTTCCACAGAAGCACCCTCTCCTCCACTGCTGTGCTGTACGCCGTTTCCCCTGGGACCCCTTGAAGGGTTCTGACACTTGAGCTTGTCAAGGTCAAATGGGGAGAGCTACAAAGAGGTGCCAACCTGCGCAGGCCACTGCATCCAGGGGAACTGATTCCTTCAGAGACCTTCCAGTAAGGTAGAGTCCACTGCAGTCATGCTCAACGTGACTCTGAAAGGTCCCAAAGGGGGAAGGCAGGTTTCCAAAAGGGATCAGAGGACTTTAATTCTATATATTATAGTGACGGTAATCAAATTGTTTTTCTGGTTACAGTAAATAAAATCTAACAAAAGTAATGTCCAAAAATTATATAATCTGAAATAAAAAAGAACTAGGGTTCAAATAAAACCCATCACACACCAGCAGCACCCCAAGGCAGCCATGCCTAACCCGGCTCCCCACACCTTGGGTCCGCCACGCTGCAAGGGAAATGGGACTGGACTACAGTGAATGTCAGTGGACAACAAACGGCAAAAATAGTTTTAGCCCTAAGACCAAGAAGGGAGCAAACACTCTTCTTTGCAAAATTACAGTCTCCGTGCAGATCCTGCCCATTCCAATCTGATCACTGATCTGCACTCCACACGGCACTTGGGTGCATGCTGGGAAGGCATTCCTCCATGTTTACTCTAGTTCTGTTTATGCATGACAAGGAGTGACGGGCCCAGGTGGCATGTTCCCTCCCCTTCCTCTTCCACCAGTAGGTAGGCACTCAGAGGAAAGGCAGAGGGCCAGCGGGAACAGACTGCGCGTGGGACTCCGGCAGAGAGACTCTGAGATAAAGTGCTGCTAGGATTGCAGGTGGGGTGAGACCTGGAGGTTCTGAAAAGATGACGGAAAGGGAATGAGATGGCTCCCATCCCTGAAAGGCCCACATCTGGCTCCAAGGGCAAACAAGGGTTGCTCCTGCTTTAAGTCCCAGGCATCAGTCAGTGCTGCAACTCTCAGTGCTGGTTGTGTCACATCATCTCAAAGGGACTTCACCTCATCTGTCAACAGATAGCGAAGGTGCTGTGAAGGGCAGCCACGGGGAGGCACCGGACTCGTTGTTTCATGGGAAGTGGAATGGCGTGAGGGGATGGAGCTGGTGCCTCATGGGGACTGATTTCATTTGGGGAGTCAGAGCTCTGGAGCTGGACAGTGTTGACGGTGGCACAGCAGTGTGCGTGTGCTTAATGCCATGAGCTGTGTACTCAAAATTTGTTATGAGGGGGCTGGGGACGTGGCTCAAGCGGTAGCACGCTGGCCTGGCATGCGTGCAGCCCGGGTTCGATCCTCAGCACCACATACCAACAAAGATGTTGTGTGTCTGCCGAAAAACTTAAAAAATAAGTAAAATTCTCTCTCTCTCTCTC